TGCAGTTTCTTCACAGTATTTATTTTCCATGAACTTTCTAAAGATTCCTGGTATATGTCTTAATTTTCTGCTGGTGATTTTTACAGAATTTAGTAAAGCTAGAATTCAGCATTTACTGACCATTTCCTCTATGCCAGGTGGACTATTTAAGTGCTGAAGAATCAAAGGTGAATCAAAGAGAATCAAATAAATTATAATTGAGGGAAGTAAATACAGATAACTATTATATTGTATAATATAGGCAGAGACACATGATAAAAATATCCTACAGAGAAGAGGGTGTATGATTCTGTCTGGAAAGGCATGATGGAAGATGAAAATGGGTAGAGAGGAACTCCAGAAAGATAGTAAGGCCTGTACTTAATTGGAATTTACAGAGAAAGGGTAAAGTATTCTAAATTAGTGCTTTTCAAATATAAACATGCAAATTACTTGAAGGATATTGTCAGAATACAGTCTGGCATGGGGCCTGAGATTCTGCATTTCTAACAAGGTCTCTGGTGATATAAACACTGTTGTCCTCTATAATGAGTAGCAAAGCTTTAAATAATGAAAGTAAACACATTCCCAGTCATGGAGACAAGAAACAGTGTGACTTGTTCAAGTACTGCAAACAGATGGGTATTCCTGTAGCATAAATCATGTGAAGGTAAGTAGGCATCTTTGTACGCCTTCCACAGAGCTCGAATTTATCCTATACTATCATTACACTTGGCAATTACAATAACACAGCTGACTTCAGACAAGGAAATTGAGTGGGTTAAAGGGTCATCGTGAGGAAATAACTGGACAAAAAGAATTTAAGGGCCTGTACTTAGGAAAGTCTTATTCAAGGTTGAGACATGGAAGATAATGGAACTGTTTCAGATACATGACTTTAAAGAAACCTAACAACTGGATGTAATAAGTGATTGTAATTAGAAATAAAGAATAAGATAACTGGTGAAATTTGAATATGGTCTGTAGATAAGTTAATGGCATTACCTTCTTGATTTCAACACTGTGTGGCTATATAAGAGAATGTTCTCATTTTTGAAAAATATACACTGATATATTTAAGGATAAAGGACAATGCTGTCAGTGATTCAATTTAAGTTCAAAGGTAAAGCAAATGTGGTTAAATGTTAATATCTGATAGATCTGAGTAAAGGATATATGGGAATTCTTTGTACTATTTCAAGTTTTCTGTAAATTTTGAGATTATGTCACAACAAAAACTATTATTTTAAAGAAAAAGTAGATAGATGATGAGGGACAAGGAACAATGGCACCATAACCGGTACAAGCCAGCTGGAGACAGGGTTCAATCTTTTCCCCCTACACTTCTATCTAAACCAATTGCTGAGTCAATATGATCTTGTTTTTAGGCTGCTCATCTGTATTTCTACTTTCACAGTCCAGCATTATTTGTATTGCTGAAATCTCCTCCTGATCAATTTGTATTTCCCTTAAATCACTGTAGCCAGTGGTCTTTTCAAATGCAATCTGATTATGTCACACCTGCTCCCCATGCCCATTTCTTTATAAGGCTTGAAGGAATATTAACAGAAACTTCTAATGTCTGGCTTCTGCCTGCTCATGGTTCTTTCTACCAAGCCCTTATTCTGTACGACATAGCTGCTGATCAGTTTCCAGTTGTCGTTTCCTGCTGCCTTGGGTAACTGCACATGCTATTTCTTCTGTCCTCTAGCCATCAGCTAATTTTGTTCATATTTGACATATCACTTCATCTGGGGAAGCCTTTCTTGAAGCTCATGCTAGTCCCCTACTATACACTCAATAACATCAAGTACTTTTACCAGAGATTACAGCATTCTTTAAGATGCATTTATTAAAGTTACAGAACTTACATAAAGGGCTCAGATCATTCCCAATACTGCTCACCATTATGTCCTCAAGGTTTAGAACAATGCTTGTCACATAACTGGCTCTTTATAGATAGGCGATCAGAGATGCTGTTTCTCGAGGTTTGGTGCTTTAAGATAGGGATTTGGGAGAGCAAGAATTGAAAGGCTAAATAAGGGTTATCAACAAGACAGGTGAAGCACTTTATGAGTTGGAATCCGTAATGGCATATATTTCTTAGTGTTTAAAACATTACAAGGCATTAATAAAGAAAATGTTAAGTGTGAAGAAAACATTGAAACATTCCTTTTTGTAAAAGTTAGGATTCCTTCATAAATGTTCTCATTAAAACATAAGTGAAGGGGACCAGCAGATGGCATAATGGTTATGTTGCTGGACTCCGACATAGTCCGCCATGGTTTGAGTCCCATATCCGATGGCTTCAAATTCAGGCTGAGCACATATGCATGTGTGCCCCAAATCCTGAGAATGGAGAAGGGATTGTGGATCCTGAGAATGGAGAAGGGATTGTGGTGTGACCATGCCAATGGGAGTGATTTCTCACTTCCCATCTCTCTCTCTCGCTAGTGCATGCACCTTATAGTAAAAACCTCTCTAAAAAAAAAAAAAAAATCTTGAGTGAGGGGCCAGCTCGCAGTGTGACTATGAAGGCGGCTGGATCCGACTGTGCGGTTTAAGTACTAGACCCAGTGGCTTAAAATAATGAGTTGCGTGTGCCCCAAATCTGAGACACAAATGGAGAAAGGATTGTGATATGACCATCACCTCTTTGGTTTGCTTTCTCATTTCTCTTCTCTCTCCAGCAAGCACATACCCCCTATATTGCACATGCACACACACAGTAAGAATTAACCTTTCAAACACCTACATGTGCCAGACACAAGTACATTTTTAAATCTCTCACAATTTACTACTCTTTTGAAGATGAGTTTAGACTTACTTGTGCCATCCTTATTTTCTATTAAACATTTTTAAGGGATGGTGAGGAATCTTAGGAGCCACCTTAGAACCCTTTCTACCATTTTTTCCAAGTGTTTCAAAGTTTTCTTGTATCTAATTTTGCTGTGTCAATCTCTTTGCAGTAATTTTTTTATCCCTAATCTTAAAGGTATCTTCATCTGTAATGGCTGTATATCTTTGCTTTGACAGTGAATTACTTGAAATTTTGTTTATTGATTCTGTGAAAAAAAAAACTGGAGCTCTATTTCTCCAATATTTTCTCCTCTCCATCCTCTAGTCTCCCATTGTCCTGTTCTCTGTCCTCCTCCCCCTTTTTTTTTACTGTATTTCTTCAACTTGCAGAATTCAAATTTCCAATTTTTATTTTCAGCCGTGCCCACTCAGCCCAGTTAGTGAGGATTTTGTTTTAAATTCAAGTAATTATAGTTGCCGTTTTTGAGATTTCTCTAGAGGTGCTTATTTCTTTTAGCATCAATAGTTGTATTAGACTTGTTAATCTCTACTCCATCAATGCTGTATTAACATCTCTTGAAATGATTCTAGTTGTAGATTGTACGTAGCCAGATTTTCTTTTCTTTTTTTTTTTTTTTTTTTAGTATTGTGTACTCTCATCTTTGAAGCTGATACTATTAAAAGACTGTCTTGCCACTGTTTGTAAGAGCCTTCTGACCCTACACTATTTTCGGGCGAGAGAAGAGAATGGGCAGGGCATATAAAAGTGGAGCACTTGGATATAGCCTGTTTCTCCAACTGTCCCCTTCTCTGCCCAAAGCTGTTTCTCTGTTGAGACAAAATTCTCATTAAGTGGCCTGGCTGAGGCCACATGTAGTCAATCTCAGTTGCTCTAGATAACTGTCCTACTCTTAATTTTCTTCTCCAGGTCTAGAGCCTCTGATATTGATCTCACATTTTCTGGCAGTGCTTTTCCCTGATGCTCTGCTTCTGACTCTTCAGATAAATCCCGTATTAGTATTTCAGAGATTACTCACTAAACTAATTCTGCTCTACTTCCAAGTTCCTCTTGTTTGCAAATGTGGTTATATATGTAACTTTATTTACCTGTGCACAAAATTTTGTCCATCATTTTTAGGGTGCTCTGGCATCTTAAAACCAGATTCTTGGTATTGGTAGGCCATGCCCTTTATTTCAGTGTTAGTGACCTTGGCACTTCATTCTACATTTCTTTTTCCATTCCTTTCCAGATCTCCAAACCCTTCAAAAGAGAAGCCAATTTATGGAAATATGACTTTCAGATAGACAGTAATCATGATGATGAAGCTAACATTTATTGAACACTTAGGTTAGTCACCCTTCTATTGATTACTACAAGAATTAATTCACTTAATCCTTATATCCCCAAGATAGCCATGAACCCTATTTTATAAACAACTAAGGCATACAGATTGACAGTTGTGTTAAATTCATTGCTTAAAAAAAGTGAAAGAATGGTGCTTGCCCCTATTAAAAGTATTTAATAGATAAAATCAGGTTCTTGTTCTCAAGGAGTCCTAATCTGTTGTGTCTGTGTTGAAACTTGCTCAATCTTGAATTATTTCTAGATTTAAGTTAGCAGCTATTGATAACTTCAGGATTCAGAAAGTATCTGGCCAAGGTATACAAATCTGAATGAATCCTTTCTCAGTGAAGTTTCTCCTGGAAGACCTTCCCTTCCCTTTTCATTCCCTTCAAAAAATGGAGCAAATGCACAAAATTGAGCACTTCTTGAGGATTTTTATTTTTATTTGCCAAAGGGCACATGCACTCACCAGAGAAGAGGCGTGCACATAGGGTGGGGGTGAGGAAGCACTTCCCTCAAGGGAGATAGTCATGCCACAATCCCTTCTCCCCCACTTCTCCCTTCTTTAGGTATTTTGGGCACACAAGTACATATGCCTGGCATGTTTTTCAAACCACCACATCTGGGACTCGAACTGCAGTCAGTCATGTGGGATCCAGCCACCTTAACCACCATGCCAGTAGCTGGCCCATGAGAATGGTTTTAAATAATCCTATTCTGGGTGTTTTTTGTTAAGGAGTTGTCCATTTGGTAGTTGTTTATTTCATTATATGTAGCTTTTTACTAGTATTTTAAAATTCTGCAGTTACAAAGAGGATGATTAACATGTTCATCATCTGTGTTAAGGAACGAAAACTTTTTTTTTCATTTGTTTTAGTACATAGTACTTCTTTGAGTCAATGGAGAAATGGATATTCACCTACATGTAAGCCTCAAATAAAATCAGAATCTTCTGCACAACTGCTACAGGGAAGGAAGAAAAGACATTTGAGTGAAACAGCACTAGGTAGGTTAAAATGAGGACAGGAGCACTAGTGCTAAATATTGGAAATAAAACTGTTATCTTTAAAAAACCACTTTCATGGGAGTTAACAATCCAGAACTATTATTATACAAACATCTATGACTCTATGACCATTAAATGATACACTCATGTAGTTAATTCAGAATCACTTGTGGACTGGCTGTCTATCAGCAAATAAGTATTACCTTTACAGTTTACTAGTTTTCTTCTAGTAAGTGTACTCTGAGTGGAATTTAGTCTCTAAGGTTGTGTTCTGGTCTCAAAATATATTGGTCAATGCAAGGCTGCCTTATAGAAATGATCAATTCCGTGTCTACTACAGAGATATTCTGAGAAGGTGAAGATTCAACTGAGGTACTCAACTACCTTGTTTAATTCTTAGTCTATAAATTTTTAGTTCCAAGATAATCACCAGAAACTACAACTCTGCTAGTAATGTAACTCTGCTAGTTATGAGGATATGGGGCATGACAGTTGCTATTGTTATTGATAATGATAAACAGAATACCTTGCAAAATAAATTCAGAATAGTAAGTTATCTACCTACTCCTTTGGTTTTTGTTCATTATCAAAGTGGCTATCACTATATACATGTCAAGTATTCTTCAGATATATTATGTGAATAACATACCCAATAAGTTAGAAACTAAATTCAATCCAAGATGTACCAGACTGTAATATAACATGGGATTTAATGCATTTATATCTAGTACCCAGAAATCCCACCATAATAGACCAACTCACTACATGATAATAACTACATGACCAAGTACAGTGGAACAAAACTAACCACCATGTCTGATGTCTCATTATGATTTTTTTTTTAACTATGAATCATATTTCCCCACAAGGGGAATTTTATTGATTACTTTATTCCCTCACAAAAAGACCAACTATAATCAAATGAAGTGAACATTCAACCTCAAGGTTTTGCCTTTATAATAAAATAAAAGATGAAGCTTAGAACTGTTATCACTTGACCCTCCCTTTCTCTTATCTCCTTCCAGTTCAAAATGCTAACATCTCTTAATGGTCAGCATTCTCTTAGATCTGTACTCAGGCTCAACACAGTCAAGCCTCAGCACAATCTTCTTTGTAGTTTTTGCCTTTTTTCCAGGAAATAGTCTGTCCACCACAGCCACTCTGCTTCCTGTCATAATGCCACTTTCCCTGTGCATATAGAGAATCCTTGCCCTTTTTTGTACTGTGTCATTTTATGAGGTTGGTGCTTGCCACACTTGTTACAGAAACTCCAGCAGGTTTTAGGAACATTCACCATGTTTGTGGGCATATTTTCTGCACAAAAAAAGCTCAATATGCTTCTTAGTGTCTCAAACTAAAGAACTGAAAACCAAGGATCACCTTGTGTTTCAGAAACTTACTTTCACACATTTCTCTTAATAAGATGCATTATAAAGTACAAACTTGATGATAAATTCTCTAACATAATTAAACCAAACAAAAAACAGATGTGAAATTAATCACCTATCACCTAAATAGGAAAATAATTCTATTACCAGTTATGTTTTATATGTGGCGCTCTCAATGGTTTTTTCCATGGCAGGAGAAAGAACACAATTTGAAGAATTTGGTTTTCAACGCACAGAACCAGGATCCCATAGCAATTTTACTTCTTCTAATGCCAACGTTATAACAAGAACCCAGAATTCATCATGTCAAGTAGGTTATTTTGTACAGTAAACTTTAAAATTGCTTTAAAATTTTTGAAATAAAACTAGCTGACTTAAAAACACTTTGCTGATCTTTAACAGCCTTATTTACTTGCAAATAAGCACACTGAGAACAATCTTATTATGAAGTAAAGTTGATTAAATAAAATTGTTTGATTAGGCAACTAATAGTTCATTAATCTTTGGCTATGCTTTTTTCTGTGTTAAAAATAAATTTTATCACTATATTAATATATGAAGCTATATACAGTCTGACTAATGAAAATTCAGGAATTGTGTTTTTCTCATTATATTTTGGTTTAGGTTTTTGTTATGTGGCTAGGGAGTAGAAATCAAAAGATGGGAGGGTTCAGAAATGAACAGTCTGAAGCTCAAGGATCAAGAACATGAATTGAGAATTAATAATCTTTACTAAAGGGATCCAAAAAATATTTTATAGCATTTTCTAATAAAAAGTGAGTTTGTGGGAACCAGCAGTTAGCGTAATGGCTATGTCGCTGGACTCCCAAGTAGTCGACCACAGTTTGCATCCTGGACCCGGTGGCTTAAAACTCACGCCAGGCACGTGTGCGTGCATGCCCAAGATCCCGAGAGGAGAATGGAGGAGAAGGGATTGCGGCGTGACCATCCCCCCTGGGGGGGGGCGATTTCTCGCTTTGTCTCTATGTCTCTCTGTCTGTCTGGCGAGCGCACGCGCCCAATAGCAAAAAAAAAAAGTGAGTTTGTTCAAGGATCAAGAACATGAATTGAGAATTAATAATCTTTACTAAAGGGATCCAAAAAATATTTTATAGCATTTTCTAATAAAAAGTGAGTTTGTGGGAACCAGCAGTTAGCGTAATGGCTATGTCGCTGGACTCCCAAGTAGTCGACCAGTTTGCATCCTGGACCCGGTGGCTTAAAACTCACGCCAGGCACGTGTGCGTGCATGCCCAAGATCCCGAGAGGAGAATGGAGGAGAAGGGATTGCGGCGTGACCATCCCCCCTGGGGGGGGGCGATTTCTCGCTTTGTCTCTATGTCTCTCTGTCTGTCTGGCGAGCGCACGCGCCCAATAGCAAAAAAAAAAAGTGAGTTTGTTAAGCTATATTTCATTGACATCTAGGATGCATTATGTTAGTCCTTTTGATGAATTTTGTATTCTAGGCATTAATATTTTTAGTCTTAAAAATAAGCTTTTATGTTTGCAAATAAATATTTACATCTGCCAAAATAGATTGTTTTGGTTTCTTAGTTTTTATAACATTTTATAGTCAAACTTTATAAGTATCTTTACAAAAATCATTTAGCAGGTACACTATCATACTATCTTTATATAACTCTGAAATGAGGATATCATCACAGTTGAGAGAACTGTAAAATACTGTAACCCTGTTTTACAGAATACTGCAAGGCGGAGATTGAGAAGTGAGAGCTCTTATGACATAGATAACATTGTGATTCCCATGTCATTAGTAGCTCCAGCTAAGTTAGAGAAACTCCAGTATAAGGAAATACTTACTCCAAGGTATGTATACTTATACCTTTCTATTTTTCTTCCATCATTCTTTTAATAGACTTAAAATTTCCAAAGTGAAGTTAGAATTTTAATTAATGAAAGGACAGTACTTCTCTACTTCCCTCTCTACTTGTATGGCATGGAAAAAAAATGGTAAAAGAAACTTTAAATCACTCATGCTAAAGAAGCACCACATGGTATCATAACTTTACTTCTCAGTTTCTATTAAGAATTCCTGAGACTGCAGTGGCATAGTGGTTAATGTGCTAGATCCCACATGTCTAACTGCACGGTTGGAGTGTTGGACTTGATAGCCTGAAAAACACGCCAGGCACGTGTGCCTGTGTACCCAAAATTCTGAGGAAAATGGAGATGGGATTGCAGTGTGGCCATTCCCCTTTAAGGGAGTATGATTTCTTACTTTCCTTCTCTCTCTGCCTTTCTCTGGTGAGCATACACAACCCATGAACCCACAGCAGAAAAATAAATAAATAACCAAAAACAAACAAACAAAAAAAGAATTAAGAATTTCTATACTAGTTTCTTAGCATTCTTAAGTCTATTTTTCATTCAGTGATATTTAGTCATCTGTTCTGTATATGGCACTAAAAGGTGCTATAAAAACTGTATTAACAGTCCTTACCCTTAAAGATAGAGAGGTCTGAATAAGGTTGCAGAATCCAAAGAAAGCAACTAGCTCAGCATCATTAGGTATTCACACTTTAAGATAGTAAAGATTTGGATGTACTGCCTACTATTACTACATTTACAAAGACTAATTAAAGTGTTTGAAACTGGTTTGTATCTTCAACAGCTGGAGGATGGTTGTTCTTCAACCTTTGGAAGAATGGAACTTAGGGGACGAAGAGGTAAGCTGCCTTCCATTTAATTGAATATTATGGATTATGAAGCCTGCTTACTTTGTCACTCAAAGAACTAAAAGGAACTATAATACTTGAACTCATACTCATTGTTTGCATGCATGCCTGAAATCCCGAGAATGGAGAAGGGACTGTGGTATGGCCATCCCCTCTAGAGGATGATTTCTTGCTTTCTGTCTCTGTCTCTCCAGCAAGTGCACATGCCTTATAGCAAAAATCTCTATTTAAAAAAAAAAAAAAAGGACATTAATTCTATTAGAAAAATGTTTCTATGCAAACTTGACTGCAAAGATGATAATATATAAGGACATTTTAAAAAGCACAAATAGGGACCAGCAGATGGCACAGTGGTTACATTGCTGGACTCCCTCATAGTCAACTGTGGTTTGAGTCAAAGACTTGATAGCTTAAAACTCATGGCAGGCACATGTGCATGTGTGCCCAAAATCCCAAGAGGAGAATGGAAGAGAAGGGATTGTGGTGTGGCCATCCCCCCTGGGGGGTGATTTCTCACTTTCTGTCTTTCTGGTGAGAACATTTTTGCCGTACAGCAAAAACCTCTCAAAGAAAAAAAAGGACAAACATAAAACATACTATTAATTTATAAGTTGTTAAAATACTGAATTTATGTGAATATTTACACTCATTTATGGTATTAATCCTATTTTTCACCATCAGATGTAGTCTCTGTATTTATGTTTGTAGTGCCATTTTGCTTTTGATTAAGAAAATTCTGGATTTTAAAAGAGTCATATGTTATAATACAAGTAGATTTTAGTGTACCTCATAACATTAATCAAACATTAACATTTTTATAGTAAAATACCCACAGTATGTTGGATAAGCACTAAAAATAGCCTCACATCATTTCAGGCCAGGCTATGTCACTAAATCAATTATGAAGAAAATCCTTTTTCAAATTCTTAGAGTTTGGAACTGCAGGTAATGAAAACAATTATAGAAAAAAATACTGTATAATCAAATTCCTACATGGTGGTCTCCAAAAACATTATGGTTTCTGTCAAAGAATCTTTCTAAGCCTGGTGGTCATGTTTTTTCATTACCAAAGTTTACCTTTTTTTATTGTCATCTGTCTTCTAATGCTTTTCCCTACTTCAGAATGATCCTATTCAAGAAACTCCAATTCTTAAAACACTATAACCAATAGTTGTCCAGGCTAGAACTCCAAATAAGTCATTCACTAAATTAATTCTGATTTTCTCAGATAATCTGTTTTAATATTTCTTTGATATGAACATGTTCTTAGAACAATGTATGCTCTTTAACTAGTAATTAATAAGAATTCTGTTGAATGAATTAACCATGAATCCATTTATAATCAAGGTGAGTCTTCAAACATTAAAAGTTAAAGGGAAAGTTTTATTCCTTTCAAGAATTTGAAGATCATCTCATATTTGTTCTCTCAACTTACACAGATATCAATTATTTCAAAGTTTGCTTCCAACTGTTCTCTAGATAAAGAACTATTTGAAACCTGTTCTTATATTTCAAAATGTTTCTCCGGGCGTGTGTGCGTGCGTGCCCAAGATCCCGAGAGGAGAATGGAGGAGAAGGGATTGCGGCGTGACCATCCCCCCTGGGGGGCGATTTCTCGCTTTATGTCTCTATGTCTCTGTCTGTCTGGCGAGCGCACGCGCCCTACAGTGAAAATCTCTCCAAAAAAAAAAAAAATGTTTCTGATGAGGGACCAGCAGTTAGCGTAATGGCTATGTCGCTGGACTCCCATGTAGTCGACCGGGGTTCGAGTCCCAGACCCGGTGGCTTAAACTCACACTGGGTGCGTGTGCATGCATGCCCAAGATCCCGAGAGGAGAATGGAGGAGAAGGGACTGCGGCGTGGCCATGCCCTCTGGGGGGTGATTTTCTCGCTTTCTATCTCTCTGTCTGTCTGGCGAGTGCACGAGTCCTATGGGAAAAAACTCTCAAAAATAAAAAAAAAAGTTTCTGATGAAAGCAAAAAATTTATTCCTAATTCCAGATAGAAGATCTTTCTGATGGGGTATTCTCCCTAAGACACAAAAAATATGAAGAAAGAGAGCAAACCAGGTGGTCCCTGTGGGAACAAAGCAAGTGGCACAGAAGAACCAGCAGGCAAGTGTTATAAATGTAAAAACAAAACCCATGGAACCAATGTGGAATGAAGAAAATTCTGCATGAATTTTGGGAGAGAGCAGTTAAAAGAAGAAAAATCATTAGCGATGTAACATCAGCTATTTTTGTACTAGAAGTGAAAACTGCATATATTGAGCTTATATGAAAAATCTGGGCTAATGATAAAATGAGTTCTCTATTTTACTCCACACTCTTTTCATCACTCTTAGGAAGACAGTTAACTAGCAAATAATATGAAAATCCTCTATGCACATATAAAATCGGTCATTTCGATCTACTATAATAATGGACCTGACACTGGGCACTGGAATTTGGGTACCCCTTTTAACATAACTACTTCAAAAGTGTCCCTTTAAAATTTTTTTCTTGAGAAACTTGCCCAGTCTAGAATACATTTTAAAAACACGAACAGACTTTGAAGTAAAAGATATCTTAGGCAAAATTCATAATTATATATTTAGAAGACTCTGTGACAGTTTATATTTACATTTAATTATTTTCAATATAACCAAAACTCAGAAAGTAAGATTATGTGAAGTCTGGTAGTCACTTTAGTAGAGCAGAACCCCTCAATTATTAAAATTAAAACATATTTCTGTTTAGGTCTCAAGTTAGCTACATCTGCTAGATCCTTATTCTAACAGTTTTCCTAACATAGATGAGATTCTGGAAACTCCATCTTTTCCTACACTTCAGAAACTCTCCAGAAGTACAGAGGAAAATGTGAATTGAGTCCTTCCTGGGTCACATTACAACAGTTATAAATACCATGGGAACTGAAAGACTGTAAGGGTTGAGTAACTGCTCTTCATTATCTTCCAAATATTAATAACAAAGGCAAGAAATAAAACCAGCAAAACAAAAACCACTACAAACAAAAACCACTACTATAATTTAGCAACATATTTCATGACGTACTATTTAAGTCTTTGAGACATACATGAAAATAATACAATCAGGAAAATCATCAGATAAATTTTTTGAAATCTATCTGGCTGAATTGTTTAAAGAAAAATTACCAAGGTGACTTAGTAATACTTTGAAGTTTTCATAAAACATTAAGACCTCAAATAAAAATTAAGGCCAGGTAATGGAACAGCAATAATACAATTGCATCTGCATGAGAAAGGCCCTTGGTTTGCAACTCAGGATCTCCCTGTACAAACTGGGTGCAAGCTTGTGATCCAGACTGGCTAAGACTAGTAGTGGATTAGAGTACAGATTCTGTGTAGGTTACTTGGGGGAGGTAGGAGGAAGGGTGCCTATCTCTCTTGTAATAAAAGAAAAAAAAAGAAAAAACTTAAAAAAAAAAAATATATATTTTCCTTTTTTTCTTGCTAGAGCTTACAGTAAAAATGTTGAAGGACAGGACTTGCTTTTGAAAGAGTACTCTAGTGACTTTAACAGCAGTCAGCCATGTGCTGCTGAAAGTCCTTTTGAGCTTCCTTCAGACCATGACCTGTGTGCACATGGCTCGCCTTCTTTAAGTGAAGGTCAAGAAATCAAGGTAAGTATAGTATATGTTGTAGCTACAATTCCTTTTAATTGCCTTTAAGCTTTTCTTTTTTTAATTCGTAAGAATTGCTTATAGCAAACTATTTCATCATTACATAACACATTCAGTTAAGAAAATTCAGTACAGAATGCTAGGTAAGAATCAGAAGACCTATATTCCAGAATTATGGTTCCATCCTAACTACAATGACTTATCTTTCTGTATAATATGTCATCAGTACCAAGTTCTACTCACTCACTTACCTATTAGGCATTAGGTATTCTACTGAAATTTTCATTCACAAAACAAATTGATTAATGGAAAAGAGCACCTGGTACATAATAAATGTTAGCTATTTCTTTCCTCCTTATACAAGGTGTCTTCATAAAGTTAATGGAAAATGTGTATTATGAAAAAACTATGCAAGGATTTCAAAATTTTTTGCACCAAAATAAACTTGTAGTTTAATTCCATTTTTCCATGAACTTTTTGAAGTCATCTCCCAAAAGATCCAGTTCCTACCTCAAGGGAATGTTTTCTAACACTGCATCCATAAAGTTTATTCACAGTTCTTCATGAACAGGTGTTGAAAAGAACCAGATCTGGAATGGAAAGAGTAGAGACTATGGAAATTAATAGGCAAGTTATAGAAAGCTCAGAAAAGTCAATAGCATCTGGGAACCAGCAGCTAGCGTAATGGCTATGTCACTGGATTCCCACATAGTTGACCACAGTTCCCGGACCCGGTGGCTTAGAACTCACACCGGGTGCGTGTGCGTGTGTGCCCAAGATCCCAAGAGGAGAATGGAGGAGAAGGGATTGCGACGTGACCATCCCCCCTGGGGGGTGATTTCTCGCTTTCTGTCTCTATGTCTCTCTCTGTCTGTCTGGCGAGTGCACACGCCCTATAGCAAAAACCTCTCAAAAAAAAGTCAATAGCATCTATAATAATGATGGAATAAAAATGAACATCAAAATACATCAAATTAAAAAAACTCCTTTAAAGAAGCTTTCCCATAAGTGCTCTTAAGCTGAAAATGAAAACCAGTGCCCTGTAGCAGTGTTTGCTCTTCTTGAAAGGCAAAGTGAAAAACTAATTCTGAGGGGTGATTTCTCGCATTCTGTCTCTCTGTCTGTCTGTCTTTCTGTCTGTCTCTGTCTTTCTGGTGAGCACACGCACCCTATAGCAAAAACCTCTCCAAAAAAAGAACAGAAGTTATACATGTATATGCTAAAAAGAACAATAGTTATCTAAAAATCGACACAGATTGCTTGATACACAACTTTTAATGAAGTAAATTAGTTGCAACTTAACTAAAGTGTCTCCCCTTTCAGTCTTTGTGGTGGGAACGACGAGCTTTTCCACTGAAGGATGAAGACATGGCAGCCTTGTTATGCCAAGATGAAAAAAAAGATCAGATTGAAAGGTCAAGTACAGCCTTCCATGGTGAAATCTTCTGTACCAGTGCACCAGAGAATGGCCACTATCCAAAAAAGCAGTCGGACACAATGGAAGAGTACAAAACCTTTGGTCTAGGACTTACTAATGCTAAAAAAAATAGGTGACAGGGAACTAGTTAAGAAAACTAGATAACTAAAGAGACAACAGGAGGTTTAAAAAAATAATAATAAAAAGCCCTGTTCCTGGTTCTCCCTACCCACTCCAGTCAAAATTCCAGAATAAGAGCGTGTACTGCATGTACTAATATTTTTACTATTTATAATTCAGGCAAGTAAGTCACTTTTCCTTCTTCAACCACAGAAGTAGCTTTTCAACTACACACAAGTGTTAGTCATTTGGGTTTATCATGCAAATTATAAGCACCAAGATATTAACTGCTACAGTTGATATCAAATCACAATACCAGGTAATTTTTAAGACTACAGATTCACACCCACCCCTACCACCTGTGCATCAAATGACAGTTATGTTTTTATCTTTACACATAGTAATTCATTAAAATTGCCTGAGAAGTATATTCAAACAAATGTGTAAGTATAAAATACACACACACACACCTAGTTTGTAAAAACCACTGGTAATGACCCACTCCACTTAAAAATGCATGTATGGACCACCTATGAAATGTTAAGTTGCAGTATGATAGCACAGGTTTCTATTGATGAAACCTGACATCTGAACGTCTTGACTATGGAGAGGGAGATTTTTATTTTTTTCTAACATGTTAACCAACAGAAGGTATTTTTCAAAATTCTTGTGCCAAATTAACATTATACTACTCTATTCAAAATCATTGATATCATGGACATGCTGGACTAACCACAGGCTACTTTCTATTTACTCCTAACAGAATTAAATAAGCAAATTAAAATTCAATACTGGCATATTTTAAAACGATCACCTTTTAAAGCTCAACTTGAGATTTACCTACTTTATCTCATAAAGAAGACACCAATTTAAAATGAGCTGTAGGAAAGTCCTATTAGTATAAAAATAGAAACTAGCTGTATTTCTAGCTAATTAGCTAGAAATTAGTCACTGTAGATAATTAATAGCTAACTGAGAAATACTGTTATATTTCTAGCTAATTTGGTTATTTCTTGCCAAACTCTATTCAAATAGCTACTTTTCCTGTATTCTAGATTGAGAATTAAAATTTTTCAAGGGAAAATGTTTCAGTATTGGATACTGAAGAGTATACACTAAGGATAATTCCTTTTGAAACTATTACACCATTTTTTTTCCTATGTGAAAACTGAGGAAAATGTGTATGAATACTTTTGTTGTATAAAAAGGTTATTCAAGTTATAGTACCCATATAACTGAAAATACTGGCCTTTTGGCCTAGCCTTTGAAATTTGACACCAAGTTTTTGTTAGGGATTCTAATTATACTGGTCCAGGAAAAAAATTTCACACTCAATACTGACAAACTTTACTTATAGTTTTACTGTACATTTATTTTTAAAGGAAAGAAAAAAGCCAGACAAATCTAAGTTGTCCTGGAAAACTCGAAATTTTGTCACGTCTGATATTATAATCTTCTATGTAAGTTTTTTAATTAAAGTTATTTCTATATGCCTTGAGTTGTCTGATTTGATTAAATGTCACCTATTCATGGTAGAAAACAAAACTAGGTTGAAAAGCAAGCATTAAGAAACTAACTTGTACTGTGTTATAGATAGATAGCACCAAACAAGCTCCATCTATTAATATTTTTCAAACTTCTCAAAACTCACAGTAGCCTCAAAAAATTTAATGATGATCATCCTGTTAGTTCTTGCTGAATTAATTTCAAAGCAAGAATATTTGTAAGAATTAAATAGCTGACATATGTTTGTAGTCTCTGTATAATCTGGAACAGAGTTCTATCTATTTAGTTTTTGTATTAATTCCGTACTGTCATCTCAGCCTACCTGGTCTTTTTTGGAATAAAATACATTATCTTCCACAGTTCCAGAATATTCTTAGCCATCTGGTTCTACAACCAGGGTAAAATTAAACTGGAAACAAGACAATATTAAGTAAAAGGAGCTTTTTGCCTAACCTGCCTCCAAAGGGCTCTACTTAAATAATAAAAAATTTTTTTTAAAAGGACATACCAGTCAGAAATCATATTCCTTACTCAGCCTACTGCTGAGCTTTAGTTTCTTGATTTTTACATGGGGACAAAAAGACCTATCATACCATGTATACCAGTGATTTAGAAAATCAGTGACATTATATCAAAGTATTCTATAACCAACGAAATGTAAACTTATAGAGGCTAATCACTATGTACTGAGTATCTTCTAAATTCTGGGAATAGTACTGAAGCTTTACATTTACAGTATTACCTCTTTTAATGGTTTACAACTCTGCATGGTTGTTTTAACTATATTCAGTGTATAATGAATAACAGATATGCTGAAAAAGGAGGATGATTTGATAAGGTCACATAGCTAGAAAGAGGACAGAGGCAGGAGAACTCAAGCCAATATTACTTCCAAAGAGGCTTTACTTTTCCTTCCTACTCAGAATATAACGGCATTGCTTAATGTCCTTAAGAATGGATGTTAGGGGGAAAAAAACTAAAGAACAATGGTAACACTAAGAAAACTGGGGTCGAAAGAAATCACTGAATAACTTGCTTTGACAAAGAAACACCTTGATAAAATCTATGCTTGTATTTTAGAACCCCTGGACTTCATACACTGTTTTAATAAATCAAGTAAAAATAAATGTATTGGATGAAAGAATATGGTATGCCATGCCAACCAAATTAAAATTTCATTCTACTCATATTATTCACCATATAAACAAAGTATAAATGACATGAAATAGGAAAAACACCAGGACTTCCTAAACTTGAAAAGCTGAGAAACTAAAGAAAAGTCTTTTAAGAAATACAGAAAGAAAAATTTTTTTAATGTGGCTAATATGCCCTCCTTTGGCATTAAGACACATTTTTGTTTGTAACTTTAATATAGCCATATTTTCATTCTTCATAAAAATCAAGACTCCCAATAATAATGATGTATCACTATACTAATCTTTCAAAATGCATCACTAAAAATGTCTTATACACACCAATTTCTAACCTCTTAGAATATTCTGTGCAATAGATTTTAATCACTGGAATGAATTGCTTGGAAAAGCAGCATTGTCTCAATGGTGATATGATTTGGTAGTCAATACTCCTGTTTTCCAGTATAAAGGAGATTTCGTGAACACACTGGGATCCTGTTGTTTCATCGATCAAGAGAACGTTTCTGAGCAGCTTCTGAGCAAACATTTCTTAAGAGGTTGATGACAGATCTGGGGTCTTCACTTCTCATAATGGCACTGCCAGACACAATCATGTTAGCTCCCGCCTAGAAGAAGTAAACACAGGTTATGCCTCAAAGGACCATGTCGAAGAACATAAAACAGAATTCCTGGACTAGAGTCTCTACCCTTGCATCTATTAGCACCATAATTATACAAAAGCTGCTTTGAGATATTCAGACTAAAGCAAGCAGGTTCAATGAAGATAGAAGATGCTCACAAATGAGGATGTGAAAATTTTCACAACTATCTAGTAAATAAATGACATTTTCAGCAAATAAATGCTAAATAGCTAAACATTATCTTTGCTAAATTTGAGAGGTTTTAAAATCCAAACCGGGGCCAGAAGATGGTATAATGGTTATATCGCTAGACTCCCACATAGTCGATCACCATTCAGGACCTGGTGGCTTAAAACACACCGGGCGCATGTTCATGTATGCCCAAGATCGCAGAAGAGAACAGAGAAGGACCAAGGTGTGGCCATACCCCCAGGGGGGTAATTTCTCACTTTCCATTTCTGTCTCTCTCATAAGCACACGTGTCATTTAGCAAAAATCTCTAAAAACTAACTAAATAAAACCCAAATGTATGTACCAGTAATAACAGAGCTCACTGAAAAAAAATCTTTTGAACTACTTATGTATCAGATCGTGGGAAAAGTCATGATGCAATTTGCACAGAAAAACATAAAAATTCAATAAAGCTAGGTGGATATGCACTATGCATGCGGAGGCTGAACCCACAAGGCTGAATGTGGTTTGGACCCGGCCTCTAGCTTGGAAAACATGCTGGGTGCATGTGTGCATGTGCTCAAAATCATGACAGAAGACAGAACAGAGAAATGGAAGAAAACGGATCACAATGATCATGGGTAGTTCGCACTCTTTGTTAACTGTATGTGCTCTCTGATAAAGAAATCTTTTAATCTTTAGATTATTTATATGAATTTATAGAACTCCCAAAAGACAAATATTGCTAAAATATGAAACTATTAATAAAATATGGCAATATTAAATAATTTCTCATTTGTGTGTCAGGAAAAAAGTGTCTCTCTATGCTTCACTGCATTCCAGAATGATAATGACATCACTTCATTGCTTAAAAATAATTTTCAAATGGACATTTTTAAGTGTGGAAGAAATCAAGAGGAAAAGCAAGAGATAGGACCAGCAGATGGCATAGTGGTTATATTGCTAGGCTTTCACATGGCTGAATGCAGTTCAGATCCCAGACCTGGTGGCTTAAAAATCTTAGCCCCATATCCTGGGAAGAGAATGGAGAAGAAACTATGGTGTGGCCATCTCCTCCCCAGAAGTGGAGGGTGATTTCTCACTTTCCCTCTCATTGTATCTGTCTGTCTCTCTTTCCGGTGAGCGCACATGCCCTGAGGCAAAAACCTCATTTTTTTAAAAAAAAAAAAAAAAAAAAAAGAAAAGAAAAGCAAGTGAGATGGGTCCAAGTTTAGCTCCAAGCTTCCTAGGATTTAACTTGAGAAGAGAAATCCAATTTGTTTCATGACTCATTGCTAAAAGAAGAAACCCAAGCTGAGGAAAATTTCTCAAAGAAGACACCGTTACTCTGTGACACGGTATTATATACCCATAGAATGTTCCTCGCAGAAATTATAAATTGATGATGTACAAAGTGATTATGGTTATTACTTAACAAGTCTCTCAAATGAAGCAATAATTTCACAGTTCAGTGAAAACCAACTCCACAAAGGGCCAAAAGGATACCATACATGCTCACTGATCCTCTGAACAGCCTCCTTCATAAGTATTTACAACTGCCAAGCGTATGACAGGTATAAAGCAAAGATGTGTGGCAGTTACAAAGACTGGAGAAGTACGAAAATAGCACACTGCTAAATATCAATAAAAGCAGGCCACGTAAGCATTAATCACTGGTGGTGACACAAGAAGGGCTGGCATTCTCTTACAAAGCTCAGGAGCCTGACTGAGCTATACTAGCTACCTATGAAACACAAATAAACTTATCTCTCCTCTACACAGAGAGCCAAAGGTATATCCAGAGAGGGCCTAACGAGTATCAGGCCTCGACGTTCACCAAAAAATTATGTTAGTTCTTATAAGGAACAGCTAATTAACTAATAATACACCTAGGTTCTATAGAAAAACGTAAGTTAATTACATTTCTCTATTTTTATGATAAAGAGGCATTTTCACCCCTATTTTGGAAAAACTTCTTACTCTAATGTCCTGGAACTTAAATGAGCTTCTTTAGGGCTGACATTCAACGTATTCTTTTTTTTTTTTTAAAAAAAAGAAACTTCTACAGCATTACTGTGATGGTCCGGATTTACTATTTAACAATTTATATAATTTTAGGATATTTACTTATATTGTTTTTATTTTACTACTTCTACAATTAAATAAAAAATACTTTTCCAAGGAAGTCAATTTAGGAAATGTAGGGGAAATCTCTTCAGCTCTAGAGACCATGTCCTAGAGATTATATCTGACAGGAAACTGGGCTAGTCACAGTTAAGGAGCAATCTCACCTCTGCACATTTATGGACAGTTTCAGGCCCTACTCCACCATCGACCTCTATATCCAAAGACGGGAACTGGGTCCTCAACCAGTGAACCTAGATATATACAAGGAGATAAGTGATTCCTAAAGTAAATATGAAGGAGAAAAAAAACCAACCAACCCCCCTCCAAAATTAAATAGCCAGTACTGGCCATTAAAATTCCAAATGTCTCCATCAGTTAATTTTACCAGTACAAAAACATCACTGGAGGTAAGTAATGTAATCAAACAAACGAAGTTTTATAAAAACGAGCTCTGTTCCATGTGGGAAACGGCATTTGTCGTGATTTGCAGAGAATATACTTCATGGAAAGCAGACAAAAACAAACTCTCAAAAATCAATAAAAACTCCCAAGGGAACAACAGTTACAGAAGTAATGGTTTCAGGCTGTTCCTACAGCACAGCGGCTAAGCCTTGTACACAGAAGCCAGATCCCACACGGTCAACAGCAATCTGACTACTTTAGCAACTTAAAAGACACACTGTATGTGTGCACGCCCAGAATCCTGATGAGATGGAGAAATGCCGAAAAGGGATTGTGGTGTGACCACGTCTTATTGGGGGAGGTGCTCACAAGCTCTCTTTCTCCCTTTCCTTCTCCATGTTGAGCTATTCAAAAACAAACAAAAAGTAATGATTTCAAAAGAAAATTTCAAGATTACCTTTGGCATCATATCTTCCATAAATTTCTGCCCTCCAAACCCAGGCTCCACCGTCATAACCAAGGCCATATCTATTTGGTTAGCCCATGGTGCCAAGTATTCAACTGTAGTTCCTGGTTTGATGGCAAGGCCAACCTGAAACAGAGACAAATTTGCTACATCACATTAACAATTATTTCCATATTATTATAGCATATTTGGCCCAATAGCCATATCTGTTTTTTAATCAAACAGAATAATAAACGAAATATAAAACATTCAGAGCATAACCTTAGTTATCAAATATAAATGTTTCCGAAAGGCAGTAACCTTCAGAAAACATTGGTGGAATAATATAAATCCTATCTGACAAACAAATCACATTTCAACTCTGGATTCACAACCCAAGAACAGGTACTGTAGTCAGGTCATCTTTGCCTATCATTTCACGTTTTCAACCAAATCTTCTAAACTCTGAGTGAAGAGTTTAATACAGTTCTGTCATCGCTGACTTCTCACCTTCATTCCATTCTCCCGAATGTCTTTAATCAAAGCGCCTGGGTTCTCAGTAGCCTCAAGGTGAAAAGTGTATTGATTGGCTCCTGCTACAGCCATTGGCTTTACCCACTGCTCTGGCCTGGATACCATCATGTGCATATCTGGAAAGAAAAGACATATTTCTTAACTACTACTGAAAGGCAAATACCCAGGCTCATGTTACTGAAGATTGCCTAAGTTTTTGCCACCGTGGTTATAGACATTTCTGACATTACAAAAATAGTGATTTGAAGAATCATACTTCAGTGGAGATAGTATCTCTTTATTCTGAAAACATGTCTGAAAAATATTTTCCCACAAAAATCATATGGTGCTGTATATGAAACTTAAAAACTGTAACAGAATTCACAAAACCTAGGTCCAAGAAATGCTATTCACAATTACTACCCCATTAACTCTTCCAGACGCCTAGGGACAGAGTGAAAAACAAAGACATCTATGGATCTAGGGGTTCCATTCTTGTTAGGAAAGACAAACAATAAACTAAATCCACACTAGATTAGCAGTCAATAAGGCCAATACCACTTTGGCAAGTGTAGCACCAGGGAGAGCAGATGAGGTCAGAGAGGCATCCAGCAAGGAGAGACAGCATAGGGTTCTACAGGCCCTCAGGTTTTACTCCGAATGAGATGGGAAAACGACACATGATTTTAAGTAGAGAAGCGACATGATCTGACCAAAGAGGCTGTTACTGCAATAACCCAGATGAGAAATGACAAGGCAGCAATTACAGATGGCCAGAAGCGGTGGAATTCAGGATTATGTTCTGAAGGTAGAGCTAGTAGGAGTTACTACTGAATTAACTGGGGGATTGGGAGAGGAAAGTCAGGGCGGTGCAAAGGGTTTGGGCCTGAGCAACTAGAAAAACAAGACTGCCATTAACTAAGGAGAAGAAGGAGAGGATGAACAGCTTTAAGGAGAAGGACTTGTTGTTAGAAGAAACCTGGTATTTACCCTAATTCTAAACTTGATTCATAAGAATATGTAACAGGAAAACAAGCATAGCGTTCTTAAAGATTTTGACTTAGAACAGTATTTTGACAGGGCAGCATGAAAAAGGCTACACTGAGGAATAACTCTGGGAAGAATCTTATAAAGATGGATAGTAGTGAGGAGTGTTGTTGTTTTTTCTTTCTTTTTTTGTTCAGTTAAAAAAATTCCATTCTTGCAGAACGTAACTAAGATTATAAATTCAATAAAGCTTTGAGAAAATGGTTAGAAAAAGAGTATTGCTTGACTAATAAAGCTGAGATTAAAGTTTATATTTCTAAACAACCAAAGGTAATTAAACAGTGAGAGCTTTATTTTTAAAAATGTACTTAGGGGTTGTCTCTCTCCAGTGAATACACATATCCTCTGGCAAATTAAAAATAATAACATAATCTGTTACATGTTAATTAAGGGTAGGCATTGTTTTATAAGTCTGTATTGTCTGACTTAACAGAAGACGCCTGTATTTTCAATCTGTTCTGCATCCAATCCACTGTAACACACTGTATTATATGAAGAAAAGGGAAGAAAGAGGTGTATGGGAAAGGGAGACTTAGATTAATAGTCTTTTCAGACAAATGTGGATATCATTCTGATTCTATATCAGAACAAAAAGAGTGGTAGTTTTACACACGTTAGCTACAGTCCATAAAACCCTACCAATAAACTTTGCATTCTTCATTACAATAAAACTGGTGGTTTACTTTGTTCTTTGAATGGATCTTTTAAGTAATGGCTCACTGAATTACATGGATCTTCTAAACAGTGACAGATATCATCAAATTCTATTCCCAAAACCACATTTATTAAAATCACCAGATCTCATCAGGAAAGCTATTAAGTATTGAGAAGTTGTTAAACTCATATGGTAAGATACAAGTTTTCCAACATTCCATTTAAAAAAGTTTTTTTTTCCATAGGGCATCTGCACTTGCTGGAAGAGGGAGAGAGGGAAAGTCAGAAATCACTGGAAATTCTAATTTTTGTTCATGGGCTATTTACCAGTAGCAACAAAAAGTGATGAGGTATGGGACCAGCAGTTGGCGCAATGGCCTTGTCAATGGACTCCCATATATTCAACTGCAGTTTGAGTCCTGGACCCGGTGGCTTAGACTCATGCTGGGCGTGTGTGCGTGCGTGCCCAAGATCCTGAGAGGAGAATGGAGGAGAAGGGATTGTGGCATGGCCATCCCCCCAGGGGGATGATTTCTCACTTTCTGTCTTTCTGTCCCTTTCTGGTGAACGCACACGCCCTATAGAAAAAAACCTCTCCAAAAACAAACAAAAAAACCTGATGAGATATTTTCCTGGAAGCGACAATTTAACTTAGTTACTTTTAAAGGTAATGTCGGCAAAACAGCCAACTCTGAAAAATTACAGTTCATCTGTCACTGTTCTTTCCAGTAAAATTCATGCTTGTGAAAAAAGCAGCTAGCTCAGATCACAACTCAAACTATGGCGCAAATGGGTTTCTTCCCTATGAAAAGTTTTCATAGCCAGCATGCAGTGTAAGTGCTGTATATGACCTTCCCATCTCTGCTGCAAAATATTAAAGACATGTACTTGAGAACTGAGACTTACTAAAATTATTAATCTGAACTCCTTCATCATGGATACAGTAAATGAAGGGTGATAATTGGTTCAATACCACTGCTTTGACTTGGGTTAAAGCACCAGCAAACTCACTCACTATTGCTTTTGCACCAGTGGCACCAACAATGGCAATATCTAAATTATGAAAAAGTTTTCATCTTGAGGATAATGTGAAAAGGTCTTAAGGGTTTCTATGAGTCCTTAGAACACACTTGAAAACCACTGACTAACAAAAACAGACTTTTCTTATCAATTTATTAACTAGATGGTTACCTCTACTCAATACCAAGATAGAACAGTTAAGAATTTTAGCAATTATATGAACAATACAACCTGTGATCTAATTCCTACAATATACCTATGCACCAATTAACTAACAAAAAAAGAGTGCAATATAAAAAAGAGCTCACAATGGAGAGCAACTATGGATACTAGAGAGAGTGCGGGAGGGAGGGAATTAAGGGAAAAAAACTAGCAAAACATTTAAGGGACACAAAACTGAAAAATTATCTGTTGATGATGATGTATATGGTAATATCCTTGGACTAATATACAATGTATTCATATTGAGAAAATTAATTTTGTATGCTGCAGTGAATGTTAAAAAAAAAAAAAGAAAAAATTTTTTTAAAAAGGAAAAGAGATCATTAACCCAAACATTAAAGTGAATGGAGTATATTCATCTTTATTTCAGCAAAAATTCTAGAAAGAAGTTTAAGATTTAGTTTATCAACAAACAAAACAAAAGCAGGAAGGAAATCCAGACTATATGTGGTGACAGCAGCAGGACTGCTCAAGAGGAAAGGCACTAGTAGGAAGAGACCCTGACGACGGCTGAGTAGTAACACTACGGGCCAAGAGAAATGGAAAAGCTAAAACTAATGATTTTTTAAAAATTCATACAAGAAAGCTAGAATCACAGGACTCCATGGTGACTGTACAGTGGGAGCAAACGATGCTATTTCTTCCACCTCTCACGACCATGAGAATCTACCTTTAATTTACACCAAGTCATGGCATCTAATATAAGCTGATTAAAGGAGTAAGAAACTTATTTTGGAAAATTCATTTTCTAAAATGTGATTAAAAAACTAACTCTAGATAATTACAGGATTGTATTCCATTATGTAGAAATTTCAAGCAGTGAACATGCTGGTGGAAGACTATGTCCTCACTCCACACAAATGAGGTGATAATGCACTTTTCTTTTGGTGCACTCAAAGTGGATGGATCCCGTAAAGAGGATTCATCCAACAGAACTTTCCATGATGTTGTGTTCCATAGCTGCACTGTACAGTACAGCAGCCACTAGTCACGTGGCTATTCAGTACTTGGAATGTGGTTAATGTGAATGAGAAATTGAATTAATTTCACCTAATTTTAATTAAAAGAGCTACATGTGGCTTGTGGCTATTATACTAAACAGCGTAGTTACAAACCTCCATAAAATTTGTCCGTAATATACTGATAAAAAATTTCTAAGTTCTGGCCTAGCCTAAGGAGTGTCGGTTGGACCGAACTGCTTAGGAAACTGAGGCAAAACCGGAGCCCTGGGTTTGATTCCTGGCTCACCCTAAAAAGCCAGGCACTGTGGTGAGTGCCTGTGGTCTCAGCTACTCTGGAGGCTGAGGCAGGAGGATCACAACATGGCAATCTGTCCAAAACACAAATCTAGGTTCTATTAAGTCCCAATAATTACATAAAAACTCTATTTACAAAGATTTGTAAAAATTCTTACGTACAAGAGATTTGGCAAGTGAGGTATTGCTAACTTAGTTTAAAACAACACATGGATTGAATCCATAATCCATAAAACATAACTTCTAGGTCTACATGATCTTAAAAATCATAATTCACATTATCCTATGACACAGGAGTGGAAAGCACAAGTAAGCCCTGCCTGGAAAACTGCAATTTTCATAAAAACAAATGACTTCTAGATCAATCAATGGATTCAGATTCATTTAAGGAACTCCAAACACTGACCTTATGGACATTTAGGGTGATGAAAACCACAGTAAATAAGGTACATTCAATCCCTGCCCTCAACCAGTTTATAGTCATAAAACTGATCTCAGAATAAAGGACATTCTAAGAAAAAAAATAAAAGAAGTGATAACTAGATAAAGGTTGATTTAGAATAGGGTGATGGGAAAGGCCTCTTTTGAGGAAAGGATAAATGACCCCAGGCCCAAAGATGAGATAGCTAACTGAAGCAGAGATTAGCCAGTTCCAAGGCCCTAAGGCAGGACAGAGCTTGGCTACTGGAGTCAGGCCCTGCTGCCCCAGCACAGAGAGGAGAAAAAGAGTGTAAGATGAACTTGGAAGTTAAGAAATCTACCATCAACTTCTCCTTTTACTAAAGCAACACATACAGCTTCAGATGGCGTAATACCCACTTACCAAAGAAAGGGTCCTGGCCTAGCTGCTTTCGGAGGCTTTCTACCACAGGGTGACCAAAGGTGATGTTGGGAACAAAATGCCTACAAAACAAACAAAATCTTACTCTGAAAATGTTTTTAATTCAGTCTCTACATTTCTCCCAATACAAATTCTAATGTGGGTAGAGGGGATGGTATCTGGGACTGCAGCATTTTTTAATTTAATACTTAACATCTTCAGTATAAACAATACCAAAACTCCTAGATAACTGCAGTTTTCTTTTTCTTTTTTTTTTTTTTAAGAGAGAGATTTTTGCTATAGGGCACGTGCACTTGCCAGAGAGACAGAAAGAGAGAAATAGAAAGCAAGAAATCATCCCCTAGTGGAGTGGCCATGCCACAATCCCTTCTCTTCCATTTTCCTCCCAGGATTTAGGATGCACATATACACGCTCCCAGCGTGAGCTTTAAGCTGCTGGGTCCAGGACTTGAACTGTGGTCAACTATGTGGGAGTCCAAAAATGTAACCACTACACCATCTGCTGGTCCCAATAACTGCAGTTTTACAAAGCACTATTTCCTTGACATTTCAGCAAATCAAATGTCACAAATATCATCATTATGATTTAATTCTGTAATCATACTAAAAATTGCATAAGTTTTATGACTTACCCAAGTCACACAGTTGTTGGTAAGTTGCAGACTCTGTCTGATACAGGTCTCTCAAACCGTACCCTGTCTGTCCCAGGAAGTCTGTGGCTATTTCTGATCCACTTATATCAGTGGACACTAAATGATAATTTATTTAAACTTTATTAAGATTCTTAGTGAAGAAAACTGATGTGTCTACCAGTAACCGCTTTCAGTGCAGGTTTACCATATCTGAGGCATTGCACCTTAACTGTGTCACCTTTGTAACAAGACTTATGAACTAGGAACTATTACTAACACCAGTTGAAGGCACAGGACAAATAACATCCTTAAGTCATTCAGTTAATTTGTGGAGGCAGGATTCAAACTAAGTCTGCCTGATATCAGACCCAAAATACTTAACCTTTAACCTACCACAGTTAATGATTTTGCTCTATCACTTAAATACACAGGACTTCAAAAAGTTCATGGAAAAAATGGAATTAAAATACATAATAATAAATTTTGGTGCAAAAAATTTGAAATCCATGCATATCTTTTTCTTAATGCACATTTTCCATGAAGTTTTTAAAGACCCCACCCCCTTTGTATTTAACAAAAATCTCTTATATGCAAGCACCATGCTGGGTGCTTCAGAGTATTTTATAAACAAACACATTAGAATTCCTGCTTATCCCAGGAGAATTCACAATTTCATTGGCAAATGATTGCATGGAAACCTAACGACACACCAGAATTTCTAACTCTATTGTGGTGGTTGTCAGGAGAGAGCCTACTCAACCATGGACTGCATTTCATTTCCCAGCTCTCTTTATGCCTGGGCAGCCAATGTGACTAGTTCTAGTTCTCACCACTGGAATGTGAGGGTTTTTTTTTTTTAATTTGTTTTCATTTAATTTTATTTATTATTTAATTTGCTATAAAACACATGCACTCACCAGAGAGAAAGTGAGAAAGCCAGGTGCCATGTATGGCAGTCAAGACTATAAGTATTAAGAGGTGGATTTTATTACAATTAAGTAGCTCCCTTTCCTACCTTCACTTTACCTTCTGTCAATAAAGTCCTAAGAGTGTAGGATGGGGGTCAGCAGGTGGCGCGTTAGTTAAGGCACTGGACTCTCAACATGACCGACCATGGTTCAAGTCCCCAATTTGACAGCTTATTTGTTTTCTCTCTCTTTCTCATATCTCTCTGGTGAGCACACATGCCCTAGAGCAAATATAAAAAATAAAAATAAATAATTAAAAAAGAATTAAGCCCTTAGGGAATGGCAGCACCACAGGATGAAAGGAGACTATGTCCCTGAATTATTGCACAGATGGACAATCTCATGGAACTGTTAGAGAATAAGGAAAAAAAAAAAACCAACAAAAAAGAAACTATCGCGTTCAACTACTAAAATCTGGGTTTTGTTAGAGTGGCAGATATTACTATATGAAGATCACAAGAAAAGCTAAATGACAACAAGTAGACATGTAATCATACGTAAAACAAAAATAAGAGCAAGTATTACAGGATGTTAAAAGAAGATCACAAGATTAAAAAATCTGTAAAGATAGGAAAAGAAATGAAGTGAAGGCTGAATGGGAAGTGAAATCAGAAAAAGTAAATTATTCAAAGAAGGAGCAAATGGTGTGGCCAATTTGGCTAGCTGAAGAAGGCAGGAGATCACCTGTGTCCTGCATGGAATGCCAAGTAGGGCTGTTTGGACTTATCCCATTGTAAGAACTGTGATTTTAAAATAAGCAGCTAATAAAGTAGGAAGACAGACTGGGAAGTAATTTGAAAGAAGGAAGGTAAGCAGTGTTAGTAAGCAGCGAGGAAAAATCAGAATGACAAGGACAGGCAAAACTGCAAGATTGATTAGATGTGGTAGTGGAGGGGTGTAGGTAAAGAATAAACCATGGTTCAGGTTTAGATGGCAAGTTTAAATGGCAGGCAGAATGAATTCGAATAAAAAACAAACACAACACTTTTTTTTCTTTTTTTTTGGAGAGATTTTTGCTCTAGGGTGCTTGCGCTCCCCAGAAAGAGAGACAGAGAGGTAGAAAGCGAAAAATCCCCCCCCCCCCCCCCCGGGAGGGGGTGGTGGTGGGGATGGCCTAACTGCAATCCCTTTTCCTCCATTCTCCTCTCGGGATCTTGGACACGCCCACAAAGGCGCCCAGCATGTTTTAAGCCGCCGGGTCCGGACGCGAACCGGGTCCTGGACGCGAAGCGCAGTTGACTACATGGGAGTCCAGCAACATAGCCATTAGGCTAACTGCTGGTCCCCAAACACAACACTTTCTATACATTAAATCACTAAAACCTCGCAACCACCCTAGGAGTAGGTACTATTATGTATATTTTACAGAAGAGGAAAAGAATACACAATCAGTTAAGTGCTGGAACCACGAGTTAACACAGGTAACATGGCTATAAAGTAAGGGCTCTTAACTACTGGTGATCCCCTCTACTATCACAACTGGTAACTAATAGGAAGCAAAAAAAAAGCCTAAGGTTAAGAGTCTCCGGAGAGAGAAGTCAGGAAGGCCATCTCTGAAAGGGACAGGTAAGGCTGATGGGTACAGATAATTTTATTCACTAACCTTGTAGACTTTGGTGGTTAGATTTATAGTATTTAGAAAATTATTTTACCATTTCCCAAAGAGTAAGGGTTATCAGGGTTATGGATAAATGGCTTGTATTTACTTAAAATAAGGGTTAGATAAGCAGGCAATAAGGCCCTAATGAGCATTTTATAACTTTTAAATGAAACTATTTGGATTTTATAGTTTTATTTTTAATTTGCTGAGAGGCCCTGGAAGTAGTACTGTTGGTTCATCTTTAGGTTTCATTTATCATAAAAATACTAATTATCGGAACCCGAGAATAGTGAGAGTCAAATGTATTCTTACTTTAAGCAATACAAACAGAATGTATAACACTCCTGACCCTCAAAAGTATGTGACTAAATTGTTACTGAAATCCAATTAGATGCACTAGGTTCACCAAATATACTGGAAGAACAAAAATGCACCAATATTCTCAGAATAAACCAAGGTTTAGGGCTAAATCATAACAAAAAACACCTATAAACCCAAACATTAAGTCACTGTGTCCTAAATTTTCCTAACAGTAATCAAAGGATACCCATTACAAATGGATTTACCACCTGTATTTCAAGTCCACTGACTCCAGAGGAAACCTGGAAATCCAAATATTTAACAAATGCCTGAGGGAGTTCTTATCACATCAGCTTGGAAAACCTCTAATTATTTCAAACCAAGGAAGAGAAACTTCATCAAAACTCTACTTCATCATTACTTTATTATGTCTTTTATCCCTTGAAGGCTTTTCTGGAGTAAAGTCTACAAGAGATTTAGTGCAATAAAGAATAATTCCTTTTCCCCAGGGACTTAGTAGAACTAAACTATTTATTTATAATACAGAAATATAATTCTTTTCTCTCCCATCATCTTCCATCATTAATCCTAAGCTTTAGTTGTAACTGTAAACCAATCTATTTCAGACAGATCAAACATTTATCCTATCTCCCAACAGGGCAAAGACGGTAAGCGGATTAAGGCTGATATAAAATGTTCTGAGATTATAACCAGAAACCAGAAAACAATCTTTCCATGAATCAGGAATCAAGAACTCATGTGCTAGCGGGGGGTAGGCAGATAACATCAAGGAACAAAACAGAGCAGAGGGGACAGGGAAACAAATAAAGAACACCAGGCCTTGCCAAAGGTAGCTGTTCCATTCAGCTCTAGCCCATGGTGGCCTTGTCAGCTGAGTTCTCAATGCAGACAAATCTTCAAGATTTTTTCTCAAAGTCAGAAATCCAGTATTAATATAAAATCCTTCCCAATTTAAATTCTGGTAATTAATTAAGAAACTGTCCTGGGGCCAGCAGGTGGTGTGGTGGTTAAGGGCGCTGGATTCCCACATAGCTGACTGCGGTTTGAGTCCCAGACCCAGCAACTTGCTTTCTTACTTTTCTCTCTCTCTTGCTCTCTCTGTCCATCTCTGATCAAATTAAAACAAATAAATAAATAATTCAAAAAAAAAAAACAGAAACAGCAAAAGAAACTATTCATTTGCTCTGATCCCACAGGATTGCTTAGGATCAACCCCTGATAAAATAAAAAAAATAAAAAAATAAATTAAAAAAAAAAAACAGAAAAAGAAAAAGAAACTGTTCATTTGCTCTGATCCCACAGGATTGCTTAGGATCAACCCACTCTGGTCACTGTCCTATCATGACACACTGATGTTTTCTATAGTTTCCTTCTCCAGAGAATCAACTTGTCTTTTATTCCACACACTCAACCATACTAGTGTCCCACCTCCCACAGTTCCCAAACTAGTTTCTGACTTTCCAGATAGAGAAATTCAATCAGGAGAGAAACTTGGGGCCAGGGTAGGAGAGGGGAAGACTAGAAAACAAGTGCACCTGAAGTGTCTTTTTGGAAATGTTTAAGGGGAGCCAAGAAGAGAAATATAGAGGAAGTTCAGAAAGAAGAGTATGGTGGGGACCAGCAGTTAGCGTAATGGCTATGTCGCTGGACTCCCACGTAGTCGACCGCGGTTCGCATCCCGGACCCAGTAGCTTAAAACTCACGCCGGGCGCGTGTGCGTGCGTGTGTGCCCAAGGTCCCGAGAGAAGGGATTGCAGTGTGACCATCCCCCCTGGGGGGGGTGATTTCTCGCTTTCTGTCTCTATGTCTCTCTCTGTCTGTCTGGCGAGCACATGCGCCCTATAGCAAAAACCTCTCAAAAAAGAAAGAAAGAAGAGTATGGTGTGGTCAGCCACCTTTGCAAAGCAAGTCCACAGCCCTGCTTTCATACCACTAGCTTATTAGAAGACAATGCAGCACACTGCTTAAGGGCACTGGCACCAGATCAGCCAGGCTCTGCCTTTTCTGGCAGGATATCATGGAAGGGGCCAAATTGCTCAACTAGTTTCCACCTTTGCCAACAGGGGAATAAAAACAGCTCTCATCTCAAGAAGCTGTGAAGATTTAAAGGCAGAGTTGCTTGTTTTTTTTTTTTCCCTCTCTCTCTTTTTGAGAGATTTGCTGGTATAGGGTGTTTGTGCTCACCACAGAGAGAAAACCACTCCCTGGGGGAATGGCCACATTGTAATCCCTTTCCATTCTCCTCTCCAGGATCTTAAACATGCATGCACAAATGCCTGGGAATGCTTTTGTTTGTTTTCTTTTCACTATAGGGTGTGTGCACTTGCTACAGGGTGAGTTTCAAGCAGCTGGGTCTGGGATTCGAACCACCGCGGACTATGTGGGAGTCCAGCAATGCAACCATTTCACCATCTGCTGGTTCCAAAAGGGAAAGAATTTTAAAACTGTATGCAGAATTAACTTTTTCTAAACAAAGGAGCTTCCTGGCAAAGGGGAAGCAAGTAAATAAAAGACTGCTCCAGACCAGCAGTTAGTGTAATGGCTATGTCACTGGACTCCCATATAGTGGACGGCGGTTTGTGTCCTGGACCCAAGATCCCAAGAGAATGGAGAAGGGATTGCGCGTGGCCATCCCTCCTGGGGGGCGATTTCTCGCTTTCCATTTCTCTGTCTCTCTCTGACTGTCTGGCCAGCGCACACGCCCTATGGCAAAAAATCTCTCAAAAATAAATAAATAAAAGACTGCTCCACCTGGCCAAGCCTGGGTGAAACAGTCTCTAGAATACAGGGCTGCTGTGCTGACTTGGAAGCCTCTTGGGTTCAGCTGGTAGGTCAGCCTGGAAACAGCCCAACTACACAGATAGGTGACCCAGATCCCGAGGAACTGGAGAGCTGAGGAAAGGAGATCCTGGCATGACAAGATCCCCCTGAGGGTGTTTTGGCTTCTTGCTCCCCTCAGCACCCCTATCTGGTATACATACACATACTATAAAAACAACAAACAAAAAGCAACACTTATCTTTGTAAGCTCTGGGTTTACCATAAAGCTGGGTGGGTGGGGGAAGGAGTGATACTTAGATCCCTCTCATTATGATTAATACACTGAATCAACTAAACTAAGCTTGTGAGGATACTTTACCAGTAGTGAATACAGGGGTGAACAAAACAAGACAAATTCTGCTTCAGGAAGCTTATAAGATAGGAGAACAATCATCATGAAATTACCATTAACAGAACAGAATTATGACATTAACACATCCCGAGTAATGTGTATATTTTTCTTTTCTTGCAACATTTCTTCTCACAATCTCAGATTATTGTATAGATTTTTGTGCACTGAAGGAAGAAAATGTTTTAACATTCTCTGTAAGCACAGGACCCAGAGAAAGCATTTAATTTTTGAGACAATATAAGCTGCTGTACCCCTTCGAACCCTAAATCTAGGATTTCCCAGCTAGTGAGTCCATGCACGGATGATTAAATCTCACTATAAACAATTACTCACTGTCAAATACTGGTGGTAATAACAGCACCAACTCATACAGTTGTGTGAGTTAATTCATAAAAAGCGCCAGAACAAAAATACTTTAAATATTCATAAACTTTGCTACAACTGTTAAATTAATATCCAGACCTGTGAACGAAAACACATTTTCTCCATCCATTCACTTACTCATACACGACTTATTTAAAAACAAATTGCCTTCTGTGTCAGACTCACACAAACACATGTGGCCTGTTCCATCCTGAGGGCCCTCTGTTTCGTCTCAGGAACAGAAGTATAGCTACCTATCACTTAGGAACACACTCCACTCAGTATTATTACTGTGGAAGCTTAGGATTTTCATGTTGTCAAAAGCAAAATATATAAGTAGAACTACATATGATGGGAAACTAAAAAAAAAAAAAAATCAAGCTTTTGTGAGAGGTACTATTTACTAACCTTCTTAAACATTCATAGCCTACAATTCTTAGTACTCTAAAGTCAAGGTTCTGCCATTGTCAGTTGGGCAGACACCTAAGAGAATTGGATAGAACGCAAAAGAACCACAGATAGACTTACCCAAAGAGGAAACTGAGCCAAGTCAGTAACATAAAAAAGTAATAATTATTTGTCTTTTGTAAACACCACTAATTTGCAAATTTGAGTGAGGGCACACAAAGGTTTTACCCATATGAAATAAATTTATTTTTCTATCCCAATCCAAGTTTTCATGATTTTATGGTCAATCAGCAGTAAGTAGGCTCAGAGAAATACCTGGCAAATCCAACAAAATCTAGGTTGTAAGTCACAATCTTGTGTAATCTTGAGGGAGTCTTGCTAATTTTGCTAGAGTTTGGGATTCCTCATTTTATAACAAATTTCAAAAACTTGGATCCTGACTCCAAACGATACCATGTGCTATAACTACAGTGCTTAAAAATTACTTACAAAAAACTGACCTCCCTGAAGAGCAGGGTGCCTGAAGAGAAAATAGACAGGAAAATCAGATTTTGAATAATGATAAAACAACTAACAGTTACAGAAAACTTACTACATGTCAGGCACTATAAACTTTCTATGAGCTCACTCATTTCAACTTCCAAAAATGCCTAAGCGGAGGTTCTATGAGTATTCTCATTTTTCTAACAATGAAACTGAAGCTCAACGAGGTTAAGTCTCCTGTCCAAGGTAATCCAGCAAGGGGCAGAACTCGGGCAATCTCATTTCAGGTGCCGAACTCTTACTCGTACTCAAGTCTCTCTCTCCAGCTTTGCCACTTACTAGCTGTATGAGCTTGGGCAAGTCACGCCTATCTCCTTGGGCCTCAGTTTCTCCAACTGCAAGCGAAAGCAATGCCGTGGAAATTTAACGTAAGGTCGCTTCCGGGTCAAGGGCTAGAAGACCACAGGTTACGTCAGGAGAGGAGTTGAGGTTTAGGACTCGACCGCAACCTGCCTCGTCAGGTCAGCCCCAGCCACGGTCTCCAGGGCTCCCACCCGGTCCCCGTCTCGATGCCGCGTTCAGAGTGAGGTGCCCGGTGACACCGTGCATCCAACAGGCACTCAATTAAGGTGCGGTGATCCCTCCCCCGCGCGGCAAGCCCGACCCGAGCCCGGAGGAGTTACCCGTCCATTACATCCAGGTGCAGATAATCGGCCCCAGAGTCTAGCATCCGGAGGCACTCGGCCCCCAAATTGGCAAGGTCACTGTTGAGGATGGACGGACCAATCTTACAGCCCGACGCCATAGTGCTAGTTCCCTGGAGCAAGTTACCCCACGAGTCCCCCGGCACGACGAAGCAGTCGCTCGCGATTCGGCGTGCCGTTTTGGACCCGCCCCTTCCCCGCACACTCTTCCGGACTCTGCCGGAAGCAGCAGCCCCTGCGGCGAGGAAGTCCCGCCTTCTCTCGGGGGAAGGGTGGCTAGTTCTACGGCTTAAGGGCGGGCCCTGGCAGTGATGGTCTCTTCTTTCTGACCTTCGTTTTGATATCCTTTTAGGTCTTTCCAGGCATTGGGGACGTATCTTAAGCTTCCATTCCTGTATTCTCTCCGCAGTTCCCTCTGTCCTCAACTCTTGGCCTTATTTTACTTTTCGTTACTCCGTCGCTTGCTTATGGGTTCCCTCCCCAACTCCCGCGCTTGCCCTTTAAAAAAATAATGGCAACAAAATCCTTTCTGCCTCGAGTTGCTCTCCTCTGGAACTGTGCTTATTAGCCGGAGGAATCCAGTTCTGCTGGGTATTAGCTAGTTGATCTTGCAAGTCGCTTCTTCCTGCCTTGGTTTTCTCACTTGCAAAGCGTGCCCAGAGTTTGGAGTTGGGAGGGTTAGGTGAGTGAATCCAGGTAATATGCCCAACAGTATGCCTGGCGCTGAGTGCGGGGTGGTGTTGGTTGTTTTGATTATCCTTTTGATTATCTTTTTATTATCTTTTCTGCTTCTGCCTCCCTTTCTCGTCAGTTTTTCCTCAACAGTGCTCTTTGGCAACTTGAACTTATGATACATTTGCTTACTTTCAGACACGATTCAGAAATGTGTAGGAATGTTCAGCCACCAAATGTGTGGCTGGTCACTGGGTCAGGAAAAAGAGATGGGCGTAAAACCACAGGAGGAAAAAATGGATTTAACAAGAGCAACCCTTAGGGGATAAGAATGGGACATCTAGTACTCTGTGAAAGAACTGGTATTAACGTGGGCCTAATTGTGTTTCTGTCCACATTCTGAGGACAACCAGGTCATTAACATTCCCACTAAGAAATCTGCCAGTACTTAATTCCAGCTGAGCGTTACCTGGGTGGAGAGATGAAACTGGACTACCTGTGTTCCTTTGTGTCCATTCCGTTTCATTTTGAAAGGAAGGAGTAAAATCATGAGTAGCATGGATCTCAGTTGGGGGTAGAGGGAAGGGAATTGGGGTGACTTAATTGCATGGTTACCTTAAGCCAGACTGGAGATTGAGCGCATTAACAAAGGCACAGCCTGGGAGACCAAAATGAACATCTTGACTGAGTTAACCTATTCCCTATCTTGAGAAAAGAAACTCAGACATACTCTTAAATGCATTTTAGATTTATTAGATGTGCATATTCAACACAGAAGTCTTAATATCTTTCATAAATATCTTTCATAAACATTTCGTTATTCATATGCATTTTTCCATGCTCTTTGGTCATTCAGTATTCATATACAGACTTTATAATCATCTGAGGGAAGTTGGCTATGTAGTCAATCTTTTGCTTTTTGCCTATAAAATGGCTAACAAAGGATTTTCATCCTGTGGTCACAGTGACAAGATATTATGGAGGTACCTTTGATCTGTAATCCTAAATGATTCAAAAATGATATAAATAAATTTAAGTTCTTTCAAATACATTCTGCCTTCAACTCGTTTTTATTCTCCTGAGTGTTCTCAAAGTTTGTTTCTGAAATGCTGCAATTCAGGCTCACTAAAGTTTGAGGAAGTGGGACTTTTTACTCACTGCTTAGACAAGGCCATGGAATTTAAAGTGTGAGGTCACAGGGCAATAGCATAACTTGGTGTTAATAGCAGCAAATTCCAGAGACTGTGCTCTATTAAAACAGCCTGTGTAACATGAGAAAGGATATTGAACTCATACTTTGGCCTGTAATTTTATTCATTTATGACCTTTTCTTCCTTATAGATTCCTATATACACCATATTCTTGTCTCAGATACTCTGAACTCAGCAGCGGAGTGGAGAAAGTCCTTCACTGTCTAAGGTGACCAATGCTAAAGAAGAGATGTTGCCCTGTATGAGGTACTTTTGGAGGCTTGAAATAGCAAACCAACTGCTTCCAGCCTGTGCAACAGGCCCTGCCTAGACCATCAGTACCACAGATTTCCATGCCGCTCCCCCAGCATTGCCATGCCTATTTATACGTTTAGACACTATAGTTCTCAGTGCCTTGTCCAAATGCACTCAGTAACTCAGTTTCCTTTCTGCAAAATAATTTACCTAACAGAATTACAGATAGCAGCAAATACTAAAAAATGACAGTAAAATGCTTTCCTATAGAAAATGCTGTATCCGGGATTTGAACTATTTTTATTGAATCTGAGTAATATAAATCTATTCCCATTATCGTGGATAGTACATGTTTATTCTAAGGTCTCTCAAAAGTTAATTTCAGAACAAGCATCCTTTTCATTGAGTCCAATTTGTTATACATGGGAATGGGTGCCTATTTTATTTTTTCTTTAGATAAGACAAATATTATTAAGCATCATAGTTTTAGAAATGGCCTATTCTTACCAATAATATATCAAATATAATAATTAGCTTTTAGTCTGTATTCAACATTTTGAACATTACAAAAACACTTATTTTTAATTTTTTTCTGATCTTTCTCAACTTTTTTTGTTAAATAATTATTCTCTCAAATTCCAGCTAACAGTACTCCTGAGAATACATCTTATGACAGTCTTATGCACATACACATAGATACTTTAGCCATTACACATAAACATTCAACACATTACATTCAACACATTTAAGGTCACCTTAAATGGAACAGATGCATACATCTGAAAAATCTCAGTAGTCCTAGTAGAAAACAGTCCACTCTGTAAGGCCCTATTTGTCAGAGTAGAGGCTTTTTTGCAAGGTACAACATTACTTAGCTTATTAAGAGTTTTGAACAGACTTCCAAACACTAGCGTGAAGAAGTCAGGCTAAAAGGCAGACAGACCAGCATAATCATGTTCAAAACAGCCCAATACTTAAAAAAAAAAATTAATATATATACATATATATAATGTGTATATATATATGTGTATATATATGTGTGTGTGTGTGTGTGTATATATATATATACAAAGGTATTTAAGATTCATATCAGATATTCAACAATCTTCTTTGACCCTTTCACTTTTTAAATTTCTGATAGAATTATACAAAGAGAATTTGATTCAACAATTAAGAAACTGACAAAACACGTACACATGTATAGAGACACATAGCTCCAGTGCTTATAATTACCAAACATAAGGCCTCTAAAGCTAATTGAGCAGCATAATTTTTAACAGACAAAATATATTAGTTTGGAATCATAAAACCACTTACGTGTATATTTCTGCACTGGAGAATTAATTCAGTATCAAGTGTAAATGATACGAAAATATCTTAGAACATAGAGAGGCCTTTTACCTCAATTTTCTGAATCTTTAGATTTGAATTTTTTTGTCCTTTAATCTTTAACTCACAAATATCTTTCATTCTCTTAGTAAATGGGACCATAACCCCGAGTTGTGTTTGAAATTATAAATCAAAATATGCACAATGCCTATTTAATAAGCAATTTTAACAAAAATAATTTTCTTTTATAATTAGGGTGGGTTTAGTAGCTCTTCTCTTTATATACATATATATCTCACAGCCAACACAGTCTAAGTTTATGCATACTGAATGTTTTTTAAACTCTTCAATGTAATCAGAGTCTATTTAATTTCAATTTTAAGACTCAAAAACATACATACATACACACACCACACACAGACACATACACACACACACACATCCTGCCATACCAATTAAGGTATGTATATGAGTTTCTATATACTTAGTAGTTATGTATTCATTTTTAAAATAAAATTTTGAAATTCAATTTGAACTCTATGATGTCCAGCCCTAATGTAGAACCAATAGCACATTAGATACTGACCTCACAAGCCTTCTGAATTTTACGCTTTTCTTGAAGTAACTGAACTTCAAGTTAAAGGCCTGTTTGTAAAATATACAAGCTGACTGTATCTGTGAAAAAATTGCTTACTTTATATTTCTTCTTCATAAATTTAGATGTCTTAAGAATTGTAAGAATATTGTTACTATTGGGAAAAGTAATTGAACCAAGTCAAACAACACTAACATTAATATCTGAAAATAGACTCTCAGAGGCAGGCACAGGATATTGTATGGGAAAATAATTGCATTTCCCAGTATTTCCTGATCTTGGCATTGGTATAGTCAGGGGTAGAAGTAGGAATACCATCTCTTTGAAGCTATTATATTTACAGTTAGTTTTTATAGTTATACTGGCTGTTTAAGTTTTTCTTAATTCAGAATTATGCCTGATAATTTATAGAATATTCTCTCTCAAATGTGATTGGTTATAAATGGAATGCTCTTATGGCATTAGTATTTTGATTTACAACATGCAATGAAAATGATAGTTAAAAAATAAATATTGAAAAGTTCGCAGCTCTAAAAATAGTATTTTTCTTCTAAATAGCTGTATTATTGATCAAAACAAAAAATGGCTGCAGACTTGTTATTTAATGTCTCCAAACTAATACTTTCCTTATTGATTATTCTTATGTAAATTGCTATTTGTATAGCCACTTAATCAATATTTTTAAAACTATAAAAATAAATATCTGCAGGAGATGTATGAGTAACCTCAAAAAATTGCATTCTCTTTTTAGAACATTATTTCTTAATATTCCTATAAAAGCAGCACTGTAATAGTATGAATCATAAACAATGTGCAGTGAAATGGCTCTTTCCCCTTATTCCTCCCTAATTTTTATAGTCTTCACACAACTAGATCCTTTAGCCATTGATTTTGAAGATGTTCACAAAACATTATGTGTATTCGCAGCAAAAATCTATGCAGATTTGTGCCACCCATTGGACGTAAAGTGCTGTTTTATAATGAATATTTTTTCTTTCAAGCAAAAGTATTTGACTTTCAGAAAAGTGATCCTTCTCATGTCTTCTCTGCACCTGCAATGGACCTGCCAATTACAGAATTAAACATGAGACTCATCTAGGACTGCATCCGTTTCCCCCAGATCAGTGGGAGTAAAAGGAAACTGGCTGGACAGTAGGGGGTTTTCCATGCCATTTTCCTCACTAATGTGAAGGACAGTGTCTCCATGCTGTAGGAGGCTAGATGTCTCAAGGCCTGTGAAGTCTTCCGGGTCTGAGAGTTGAGTAGAGAGGGGGCTGTGTGCTGCAGCACCTTGTGCTTCTATGTCTTCCTTCTTTTCTCCTTCTCCATCTGGGAGAGTCTCACTCTGTGATCAAAAGGACCATAACATCACGGAAAGTATAGGATGAGTACCAGAGAAGAATGTAAAAAAAATATTCTTATCTTACTGTAATTGGACAAGGAATCAGAAGGCTACTCTCAGTTTCCACTTTTGTTATAGGTAAGATTTTTTTATAGCCCCTTCCATCTTTCTAAGCCTCAGTTTTTTTTTTGGGGGGGCAGGTTTTTGCTATAGGGTGCATGCACTTGCCAGATAGAGACAGAGAGACAGAAAACGAGAAATCATTCCTTGGGGGGATGGCCATGCTGCAATCCCTTCTCCATTCTTCTCTCGGAATCTTGGGCATGCACGCACACCCACCCGGTGTGAGTTTAAGCCACCGGGTCCGGGACTTGAACTACAGTCAACTACATGGGAGTTCAGCAACATAGCCGTTACGCTAACTGCTGGTCCCAAGCCTCAGTTTTCTAACCTGTAACATGACCATAATTTTTTGTCTTGCTTACTTTATAGGATAAAATAAGATAATAATGGTGTCAAAATGTTTCTTAACTGTTAAAGATTATAGAATGTATATAGTATTGTCCCTTTTTTAAAAAACAGTAACACTTGAGAAGAATGTGAAACCCATAGAAATCTAATTATAAGAATCAAAAGAAGACAAAAATCAAAACCAGAAGAAAAATATGAATAAGGAAACTATTAAAACAGTGAGGAAGGTGCCAGTTGGTGGCATAGAGATTAAAGCATTGGATCCCACATGGCTGGCTTTGTGAATTGAGTCCTGGATGTGGTGCCTTGAAAGTCACAAAGGGAATGTGTGCATCCATGTCCAGAATCCCAGGAAAAACTAGAGGAGATGGGATCGTAGCGTAACCATCTCCCATGGGAAAATTATTTCCCACTTTCTCTCTCAACATGCTCTGTAGCAAAAAATAAATAAATAAATAAGAAAAAGAAAAACCAAAACAATGATGATAAAGATAAAAGCAGAAAATTCCTCTTATAAGATATAAAGGCTCTATATTTAAAGGCTTCTTCTAAATTGGTGCTTTTATTCTTTTTTAACTGAACTATCTTTTAACTTTTTTTTTCCCCATAAGGCATGTGCACTTGCTGGAGAGAGACAGAGAAAGATGGAGAGAGGGAAAATGAGAAATCATCCCTCACCTGGAGGGGAGGGATGGCTACACTGCAATCCATGTTCTTCTGTTCTCTTAGAGTACTGGGCACACTTGGGCATGTATGCACACGTGCCTGGCATGATTCTCAAGCCACTGGGTTCAGGATTTGAGCCATGGTCACCCACATGGGAATCTAGTGCCTTGACCACCACACCCCTGCTGACCCCTCAACTATGCTTTATAAACCTGTTTTCAATGGTTATTTTAGCTGCAAAATACTTTTCTTAGAGTTTTCATAACTCAACATATGAAGATTTCTCTTGGTCCTTCTTAAGTAGATATATTTACAGCCATATACTTTTTATTGATTTTCTTTCTCAAAATGGCAAGACCGGTATCTGTCTAAATAACAAAGCATCACAGAAGCAAACTTAATTATATGGAATTAACTTATAAATCTAAGTGGTTCCTAGAAATAAGTGTACAAGGAGCAAGCCTTCCTTGCTTCTCTAGTGTTCTTACCTGTTTGGGGGACAGGCTATGGAGATCTGCGACAATTGCAGGGGAAGAAGTGAGGACTGGTTCATCCATTCCTTCTGGTTTTCTAGATGGGGCTGGGCTGCAGCCCTGTGGTTGCCCTGTGGCAGTAAGTGTGTCTATTGGGGCAGTTGCAGGCTCTGGTTGCGCCTCAATGAAGGTCACAGATCGTTTCTGATCCACTGTAGGTCAGAAGTGAGGCAGTACATAGGAGAGAAATAGGGGGAAAATAGACTGTCAGAGCTTATTAGTTGGCTTTAAGCAGTATTTCTTGGCTTTCCTAAGTAAAATATTGTAGGTTTATTAATAAATGAGAGCACATTTGACACATTTTGTACATATTTTGGTTTCATGCTATATAGAGTAGGATTTACACAGAAAAAAATTATTTTTACCTAGTAGCCTAAAAACGATTTGCGTAAAGCATTATTTGATCACCTCAAAATAACTGCCATCAGGACTTTAAAGTACTTATTGTTCATCATACCTTTATCTTCAGACCTGAGTAAAGAAAATATATCTTTCTGTCTTCAAATTTCATAGTATTAGTGGTTTACCTCAGACTCTTCCATTTCTCTAAGTTTATGAGGGTAGGAAAAAGAGAGGTTGGGAAGGTGAGAAGGAAAACAGGCACTAAATTTTCAGGAAGACTTTTGTCCTTATATGAGCATCTCCCCCAAAAGTGTGCTCATCTATTGCAGCTCAGTTTCTGCAGGCCTTCCCAGCAGAGTTGTATGGCATCATGTCAATGGTAGAGTTGGAAGGGACACAGGAGTCCTCACCAGATGGCTTTGTTTTAGGTTGAATGCTCCTGCGAGTGGTTGACAGCCGAGCCCCATGGCGGTTTCTGGGTTCAGTCTGAGTCTTCTGACGTGACAGTAGAGGACGTCTTAGCTAAAGAGAATAGGCAGAATCAAACTGGCAAGGAGGTCTAACTTACTGGGACGAAACACTTGCACTGAGAGGATCCTCTTTATTTATATGTTTCTGTGGACTCGTGGCTGTTCCTTAGATTTACAGCTAATAAACTTTTTTCTGCATATCTAATGATAAGGTTTTTTTTCCTGGCATCTCCTTGAACCTATTCAGCTCCTTTATGTATGCTAAAAATATTAACAAAATTTAAAATTGTGAATTTGAGAATTTTAGTGATTTTAGCATATAGAACTAAGAGTTATTGCTTACTGCTCAACCTTTGCTCATCTAAAAGTTGTAGCTGAATATACGCCAACTTTCAAAGTGACAATTTATAAATAAGTAAAACCTCACATGCTAGCAAAGTGTTTAGTACCTGGCTCAATGATGAGAAGCACCTATCAAAGGAACAGAGCAAAACTTCATTTAGAGTTTTGTTAAGGAGGTAATACAGGAGAATGTCACCTAAGGAAATGTGTAATGCTTTTCGCTTCAATTTCAGTTTTAAATTACTAATCTCGAAATGAGAGAGAAGGGACTTATTTATCTTTGCCTCTATACAAAAGCAGGCATTAAATCAGCTACATATTAGATCTTCCTCTGTTAATAAGTTTGAGTGGGAAAGAGATTTCTATATGGGACAAACAGAATTATAGGACCACATTACAAACCTTTGCTAATAAGAAGAAGTGGATGTAAAGTAGAAGCTCAAATCTTCCAGCTTGCTTAAGCACTTACCATGTTTTAAAGTTATTCCTACTATTTATTTCATGTAGGGACAAGGCAAGCTATAATCTTAATATATACATGCACATTACAAATTGAATAGATCTTCCATTTCATTGGTGATTCTCTTGTGCTTCAGGGTCTGCTTACCTGCCTCAAGCCCCTCTTCCTCCCCAGCGGCTGCTGAATGAGGAGGTTCTGTTGGCCAGGTTCACTCTGTACACTTGCCACCCTGTCAAGCATCAACAGAGTTAGTGTACCCTGGAAAGAGCGCAGAAGACCATCCTCTGGTGGGTGTTAGCCAAAATCACTTATATGAAAGTCACTTCAAAGATACCATTATCTTTGAAGGATGATTGGGATAGTCCCTGGGATGGGGGTTTTCAAAGGTTTGGAGGGAGGACAAGGCCTTGAAGCCACAAGCTGCCAAAATTGAGATTCTGTTTTCAATTACTGATCCCGTTTCTGTTTCAGCAAAACATTGGTTTGACCACACCCCTGGTTTGGAAGCCACCAAAAGGTTTAAGATAGCATATTCTAATCTCAATTTTTTTTTTCCAAGGGGAAAGGAAAAGGTGGTGACAAACACACACAAACAACTTTGTTACATGGATGGGAACATCTTTTTTTAAGATTTCAATCTAAATGAAAATAAGATGGACAAATATCAAACACATCAGACACAGAATTCATTTGGGTGAAGGGGCACATTCAACACATGTTTGCAGCCTGAAGTCTCTGTGACTACTGAGTAAATGAATAGTCACATGGGTAGACTGTGTTTTTTAAAACATAATTTTAGATTTAAAAGGCTGGCAAGTAAGCTATCATTATATCTCAGGAGCTTTAATATGAAGTAATGCATTCAAATATAGTGCAGTATATAATTGCAACAATCTGCTTCCCCCAAATTTACTGTGTATATGTGTCTTATATGCAAAAGTGACTGCTGGTGGTGGTTACCATTTTAGTGTTGGGTGAAGCTGGGAGTACTGACATGGGCCCATGGTCTTTTTCCATTCTGCATGCATATATAATAGGTATTTCTAATGAGAGTGGGGGGGGTGAAAAAAATATATACTGTGCCCCAGAGAACACTGTAATCCTGTGGATGATGCCAGTGTGATTATTTGGTTAATGGGTAATTAATTTCTGCTTTGCCTTTGCAAAAGGAGAGTCATCTACAGATAGTTTTTTGAATAAAATATTCCACCGAGAATCCAGAATTAGCAACTATCTAGAAAAAAAGAGATAAATACTGTATTTTCTGTTTTTTTGTTTGTTTGTTTGTTTGTTTGTTTTTAGAGAAATGAGCTACCTAAATACCTAGCTGCAGTCATTGGAAGAGAAGGAGCTGGCAAGATGGGCAGTCAGATGCTTCCCCTGTTGTATTATAACTGGTTATCCATCACATACTTGACACAGTCACATCTATCATTCCTTTTAAAGTCATGCATATTTACTAGAAGAAAATCAATGATTCCCAAATGGAGTTCATTAGAGTTCTTGTGAAATAGGCATGTAATTACACCATTTGGAGTATACAGTAGGCAATTTCAAAAAGAATACCAAAAACAGGTGGTTTAAAACTTTTCTATTCTAAATGTCAAGCTCAAAGGATCAATGTACATTATATGACGTTGTAACATATATGACCTTTCTATGGAGATGGAAAATTACCTTGAAAGAATAATGCAACAAATTGTGATAAACATCCAGACTAAGTTGCTGGAATGTTTTAAATGACATCTCCTTATTAATCATATGTTTTAAAACGTGTCTGTTAGATTTTTGGAAAGAGTATTTAATTAAACATATGCACAAAAGTAGAAACAAGTTTCTCCCCATACCAAGCAAAGCTTCCATTGGAATGAATTCTTTATTGACATCTAAATGTTACCTCAGTTCCCTTGGCCATAAAGGGAGGTTAATACTTACCAACTACCTCCCATTAAGGTAGAGAAAAGAAGTTAGTTGATGTAAAATGATTTCAACATGAAAAGTGGCATATATGGCATGCTTTCTTGTTTTACATTTGATGTTTGTAATGAGTTTATTGCTTCTAGAACAATAAAAGGAAGTAGAAAATAAAATGTTTTGAAAATAATGGGGCAGAGAAAATGAAATAGAGGCAGTCCACTAGTCTCATTTTTATTCTGAAATCAGATTGCAAGAAAAATGGTTCAAGAAAAGAAAAGAAATACACATTACTTCAGGGAGTGTTAAATGTTAAAACATAATGGTAATTTTATGATGCTTGTTCCAAGGGAGGATCATAAACATCGAAATTTTCTCTGTGGATAGAGAGGCTTATGTCTAAGAAACGTATCTAGTATATAGCTTTAGTAATGATCTGTTCTGGGTAAATGATATAGCTTTTCATCATGGGATGCACACATCAAAGATGAAATTACAGAACATGTCCTTGGAAATACATTTAACTGATCATTTATATTCTCCTCAGAAATGTAAGGTTAACATATTTATATTTGGAGCATCAAAGCCTGACTCGATGTGTACAGTTAGGTCATACTAATAAAAAACAGCCAGAAAAGTTAGCAATGGAATTAATTGATGCAGAACATGTTTGTTTTCCTGGGGTCTACATAAAAATAAAGTTGGATATAAAAAGTAGTTTCAATTTAGCTTCTCTACACATCATCTAATATTTCAGTCATCTGTAGGATTTGTGATGTATGACTATAGATGTGCGATACTGAACTGAACCAGGAGAAGACCAACGTGTTCACATTAAGCATCTCTCTGCATTATACTCCATTTTCTGCTTTAGTTTTTAAAATAGCCTCAATGTAGCCTTCATCTACCATAATTGAAATAATCAAAATTATTTTTGTTTTTAGGGAAATACTGTGTCTGATTTGATAAAATTTTAAAATACTATACTCCGGTAGGCTATTGAATCCTTTATAATAAATGAAATGTCTACTTCATGCATTATAGTCATGAAAAGTTGAGACCATGCCAAAATATATTGGAGTAATAGAACAAATTCTAAAAACACTATCTTATACAGGAAACTGGCTTCCTGAAATTTAATCTTGGGAATGAGAAATGACATTTCCACTATTTTGGCCAAGTAACAGGGTAAAGCAATAAGATAAAAGCAAATAAAGCTTTCTAAATAGAAGCTAACATCTTACAACATATTTACAAATAAATCATCCCTTGTATTATGGAGTCACTGAAAACTATCACTAGAGCAAACCATATAATGGTCTAGGTTTTAGAGAAGTAAATGCATTTTGGGCTCAGCACAACTGGTGTGACTCACACTGTCTACAAAAGAAAACAAAAACATCTTAGTCAAAATGCATGTAAGTAATTTATAATTTAGGGGAATTTAGACAGTGTTAAGACAATTCTGATACAAATTACCTCTTTTCCCTTATTTCAGCATGATGGTCTGGAGGTATATGTGTATATCTCCAGCATATATACCTAATAATACATATGGGGTCATTGGAGAAGTCATGATGCATTTTTGCATCAAAAACATATAAAAATACTTGGTGACTTTCCAATGACCCAATGTATTTTTCTTTTTGTAGATAGGGTCTTGCTATGTCAAGATCTGCCTCAGCTTCCCAAGTAGCTGGGACTACAGGCCTGCGCCACTTCTGGCTTCTAGATTGCCCAGGCATCAAATTGGTTCACCATGTGATCTCACCCTGCCTAGTAGCGGCATCAATGAGTAAAATGTGGTTAGGCTCAAATAGTGTTTCTTAAAATAAGGAATAGTGAACAGGGACCACTCTGTACTATAATAAAAATTCTTATTACTCATCTCAAATTACAAAAAGAAAAAGATTATAGCTTAAAGTATATTTTATTAAAAAAAAATTGTGTGCCAGTAAGATGGGCACACAGAAAAGTGAATTGGTATTTTTATTTCATTTATTTGTGCTTTTGGTGTCAAGCTTAATATGGCTAGAGAAATCTAGAGGTAGAACACAAGACACACAGCATATCCATTCATGTAGAGTGATTGCCTTGTGATGGGAATGAATAAAGCCAGCACCAAAGGAGTCATAAGGCATTTGCAGAAAGTAGAACGGCCATGCCAAAATCTTTTCTCCATTCTTTTGAAATTTTGGCACACATGCATATGCGCCCAGCATGATTTTTAAGCCTCTGGGTCCAGGACTCAAACCGTTTGTCCATGTGGAAATACAACACCTTAACCACTGTGCCACCTGCTGACCCCAAAGAAAAAATATTCTAAGAGCTGCTGAATTTAGAGATTAGAGGCTGGAATCAGATTGAAAGGGGGAATAATTTGGATCTTAGCTATCCTATAGGAACTGATTTAGCAATGGCAAAATACCAGTGTATCACAGCACAATTTTTTATTTTTTATTTTTTTGCTATAGGGCACGTGCGCTCGCCAGAAAGACAGAAAGAGACAGAGAGACAGAAAGGGAGAAATCACCCCCCAGGGGGGATGGCCACTCTGCAATCCCTTCTCCTCCATTCTCCTCTCGGGATCTTGGGCACACCCGGCGTGAGTTTAAGCCGCCGGGTCCAAGACTCAAACTGCAGTCAACTATGTGCGAGTCTAGCGACATAACCATTACACTAACTGCTGGTCCCACAGCACAATTTTTTTTAGCCATTAGTTCTCAGCTACATAGAAAGGTTTTACACTTCGAGAGTTCTTGCCAAGTTTTTTTTTTTTTTTTGAAGAGATTTTCACTGTAGGGCGCGTGCGCTCGCCAGACAGACAGAGAAAGACATAGAGACAGAAAGCGAGAAATCACCCCCCAGGGGGGATGGTCACGCCGCAATCCCTTCTCCTCCATTCTCCTCTCGGGATCTTGGGCACGCACGCACTCGCGCCCGGCGTGAGATTTAAGCCACCGGGTCCGGGACACGAACCGCGGTCGACTACGTGGGAGTCCAGCGACATAGCCATTACGCTAACTGCTGGTTCCCTTGCCAAGTTTTTATACTTTGAAAATGTGGATAATCATGGGTGGGTTCCACTAAATAGATTATTTTTATTTTTTCACATCTAGATTATATAATGTTGTTCAAACTTGTGCTATATTCTTATTTTCCACTGTGATTAGAGTTACCCTGACAGAATCAAACAGCATTTACATATCTCTTTTTTAAAATTAGAGTTGACTGTCAATTCCTACCTTTCAAAATGCCCTAACATGTCCAAGCAAAAAATTCTAATCTAATATAAACAACCAGTCTTAAGTGCTTAAATAACTTCTGTATTTCTCTATTCTCTTGAAGAGAAAATATGTTCAAAATTTCTATGCGTATTGAAGTGGGGACAGGGAAGGAACATCTACAATGAATTTCTATACCTCTATGAGCAACATTCTCTAAAAGAGAACGCTCTGTCATGGAATTTTATTACAGTTTTTTTTTTTTTTTTTAGAATTATTTTATTTAACTTTATTTATTTCAATTTGACCAGAGAATGACAGAGAGAGAGAGAGAGAGAGAGAGAGGGAAAGTGAGAAAGCAAGCCTTCCGGTCTGGGACTCAAACCACTGTCGGCCATGTGGGAGTCCAGCATCCATAACTACCACACCACCTGCCGGCCCCTTATTACAGATTATTCATTTCCAAGGGAAAGAACACTTTTCCCAGAGTGCAAAGAACACTTTTCCCAGAGCGCATTGTTTCTAAGAGGCTCTTTCTCAGGATGAATCTTTACAAGAAGTCAGTTAACACAGTTTAAAAAAATCCTAGAGGAAAAAATCTTAGAGGAAATTTTTTTAAATCCTAGAGGAAATTTTCAATAAGTTTGCAAAATAGTTATTGGTCTTTACCCATTCATCAGGTTATCTTGGTCTCTTCCTCATTTAGTCCACTCAGTCCAACTTGTCTTTTGTCTAGACTAACAAGTACTTTTTTTTTTTTTTTTTTTTGGGGTGGCTTTTCTGGAA